GATTGTTTATTGTGAAGGTTAGTGAAGCTCGGTGGAGCTCGTGTATTTTGTTCGACAGGAGTATTTTCCCGTGTGCCTTGTATTTTCCAGTGCACCTGTTTTGTTCTCTGGAGTGTGTTTGACGCATTTCTGCGTAACCCTGTATTTTTGCGGATTAAAGCCTGTTATTCTGTGATTTACCCTCCTGCGCCTGACTCCTTCAACACCACCTCATCACAGACCCTCCCTCATCTCCATCAGGGCTCAGGAGGGAAGGAGCACAGCCAAGGAGTGGAGCCAAATTGGGACTTCTCCTCTGCAGGCACCTACAGCACTGCCTGTTTGTCCTTCTCAATCCCACTGATCCACCACAACATCCAGCGTCATCCAGAGCAGGGCCCCTCTGGTGTCCCAGGCTAGCCTGGATTGGTGCTCCCACCCTGGGTTCTGGCAAGTTGACTGTCTGCCTGCCTGCCACAGGGGAATGGAGGGGAATACATAAATAGTGCTCCAGAGATCAACAGTCCTCGCTCCATCCCACCTTTCTATTCCTCTTTCTCCCTCTCTCATCTCCTCCCTCTCCCCTTCTGGCACGATGCTTTATTATCATATGTTTTTATTGAAGCATCATTTCATACCTGCGTAAATCAACACAGCTTTAGCTCTCTGGCCACAGCCCTATAAACATGTGTAGAGGGAAGAGCGCTGAGGAGAATGGAATCAAATAACACAGAGATACTGTTAACACATGATGCAAATGTGAACGTGAGTAAAGGGATGTGAGCATAAATCAGAGCCACATGAGTCTATTAATCTCCAGCTCCCCAGTGGAATCCATCATAGACCAGTGGCGCAAGGACCGGAAGGAAGGAAGGAAGCCATTAGTGAAACAATGCCGTTCCTAGAAAATAGAAGTTGTTTCATGGAGGGCGTCTTGTTAAAATAATTGCTAAAGTGGAGAGTGCATGACCTTCAGATTGCAGAATTACATCCTCTGTGTTTTGTTCTCATCAAACCTGTATTAACATTTTTATGCAGATTGGTTAATTGGGTGAAGCTTGATTGTTGCCATGACGATCAACATTCAACCTATGTAACGGTGTGTCTACCTGTATGTGCACACACTTGTCTGTGTGCATACCTCTGTGTGTGTGTGTCTCCAGTACAGACAGACAGTGGCCTGACTCACCAGTGTGGAGCTGATCAGTGCAATTAGAGCCCTGTGTTACACACCACCGTCGAGGTGCCACATATGGGGCAACAGTGACACCCTCAGGAAGAGAGAAACACCCTCCCTCCCTCATTCCTTCCCCCCCTCCTTCCTTCCCTCCCTCCATCCCTCCTTCCTTACCCCCAACACTAAGCAAACCAACCTAAATTATTATACTGCAAAGAAGCATGATTTAGACTTATTAGGCAAGGGCAAAATAATAAAATATTAATATATATCAGGGTGTTTTGTTACTTCGGTTTTAAATGGGCCAGGAGAAAACTTCCTCAGCATGTACAGTACATATTATATGAATATTCAATGATGCCTGGCTGGGTTTCTCCTTGTCTCAGCCTCTTTCTGTCTATAGTCTACAAACCAGTCTGGTGTTTTTAAAGCTTCATCTGGCATCTACTTCCAAAGATCATTCTTGAAAAGGAAATAATTCCCTCCGGAGCGATAGCGTGTCTGTCATCTTATTAAATCACACACACTATCTTGGGAATCATTAAAATGATCACATCAATAAATAAACAGACTAAAGAACAGTGTTTATTAAATCATAATGAAGCTTGGTAATAAATTCCACCCCTCTTAGCTGCAAGAGAGCAGAACTGACCCAGGACAAGAGCTAATGATGTAGGACTGGTCTAATGCTGAGAGCTAATAATGTGAAGGGAAGGCTGTTTTTCTGATTTAATGTCTGCTCTGCATTTCTACTAAGTTAGTAGACCGCACACACAAACATACCAATTAACCACTCTGCACACACACTAAATGCCACTGATACTTGGTCATAGGGTAACAGACCTGGGTTCAAATATTAATTTAAATATTTCCAATTCTTCAAGCGTTTGCTTTAGCTTGCCTGGAGCGCCAGATTAGTGGGGTTTAAGACTATTCTTTTGGTTCCATTGCGCCAGGCAGGCTCAATTAAGCCCAGCTAAAGTAATTTTAAATTATTTCAAATAGTATTTGAACCCAGGTCTCACAGTAATGTACCAAGCTGGAGGAGTTGAGATACTAGTCTCTACCATTTCTTCTCTGCAGTGCTCTTCTTTGTGTTCTCTTCTCCTCTTCTTCTCAGCCTCCTCACCTGGGGGTTACCTGCCGTTGGTGGCCCACTAACGCTGCAGCTGTGGGAGGCTGGGTGAGGCTGCCTGCGGGGGCGAGGAGGGGGGTTGCCCTCCTTATCTCCCTCCCCATTCCTGGCTTCTGGTGGGGTAGCACCAACCGAAGGGCAGTGGTCACGGCCCCCATAACACACACACACACAGTACCACAGACAACAAGAGCACCTGGGGAGGGGAGCCTGCTCCATCTGCTAAGGCACAGGAGTAGCATGAGATGTTTAACCATAAACACACTCAGCTAAGGGACACAAACTGAAAGTACCCAATGCAAAATTAAATACTCATCTGCTTTCCTAGATGATCTTTGCTATGATCCTGTAAGCAATAATACATAAACACAATATGGTACAGACTTTACTAAACAATAATAATACATTACTACAGTCAATGATGTATACACCTATAGAACTACCACATAGTATCAGCTTTCACAGAGAAGAGAAAAATACATTGGAGCATCATACATAGTACATACTGTGCTTTCAGAAAGTATTCATACTCCTTGACTTATTCCACATTTTGTTGTGTTACAGCCTGAATTTAAAATTGATTAAATAGATACTTTTTTTCACCCATCTTCTCTCCCCATAATGACAAAGTGTGAATTTTTAATTTTTTTCCCCCAAATGTATTGAAAATTAAATACAGAAATCGAATTTACATAAGTATTCACACCCCTGGGTCAATACTGTGGAGAAGCACATTTGGCAGAAATTACAGCTGTGAGTCTTTCTGGGTAAGTCTCTTAAGAGCTTTCCACACCTGGTTTGTGCAACATTTGACCATTTATTCTTTTCAAAATTATTCAAGCTCTGTCAAATTGGTTGTTGATCAATGCTAGACAACCATTTTCAGGTTTTGCCATAGATTTCCAAGTAGATTTAAATCAAAACTGTAACTCGGCCACATTCACTGTCTTCTTGGTAAGAAACTCCAGTGTAGATTTGGCCTTGTGTTTTAGGTCATTCTCCTGCTGAAAAGGTGAATTAATCTCCCAGTGTCTGGTGGAAAGCAGACTGAAACAGGTTTTCCTATAATACTTTGACTGTGCTTAGCTCAATTCCATTTCTTTTTTATCCTGGAAAACTCCCCAGTCCTTAATGATTACAAGCATACCCATAACATGATGCAGCCACCACTATAATTGAAAACATGCAGTGGTACTCAGTAATGTGTAGTATTGGATTTGCCCAAAACATACAGTTGCTTGCAAAAGTATTCACCCCCCTTGGCATGATTCCTATTGTGTTGCCTTACAACCTGGAATTAAAATTGATTTTGGGGGGGGGGTTGTATCAATTGATTTACACAACATGCCTACTACTTTGTGAAACAAACAAGAAATAAGACAAAAAAACAGAAAACTTGAGCGTGCATAACTATTCACACCCCCAAAGTCAATACTTTGTAGAGCCACCTTTTGCAGCAGTTACAGCTGCAAGTCTCTTGGGGTATGTCTCTATAAGCTTGGCACATCTAGCCACTGGGATGTTTGCCCATTCTTCAAGGTAAAACTGCTCCAGCTCCTTCAAGTTGGATGGGTCCCGCTGGTGTATAGCAATCTTTAAGTCATACCACAGATTCTCAATTGGATTGAGGTCTGGGCTTTGACTAGGCCATTCCAAGACATTTAAATGTTTCCCCTTAAACCACTCTAGTGTTGCTTTAGCAGTATGCTTAGGGTCATTGTCCTGCTGGAAGGTGAACATCTGTCCCAGTCTCAAATCTCTGGAAGACTGAAACAGGTTTCCCTCAAGAATTTCCCTGTATTTAGCGCCATCCATCATTCCTTCAATTTTGACCAGTTTCCCAGTTCCTACCGATGAAAAACATCCCCACAGCATGATGCTGCCACCACCATGCTTCACTGTGGGGATGGTGTTCTCGGGGTGATGAGAGGTGTTGGGTTTGCGCCAGACATAGCGTTTTCCTTGATGGCCAAAACACTCAATTTTAGTCTCATCTGACCAGAGTACCTTCTTCCATATGTTTGGGGAGTCTCCCACATGCCTTTTGGCGAACACCAAACGTGTTTGCTTATTTTCTTCTTTAAGCAATGGCTTTTTTCTGGCCACTCTAAAGGGGTGTGAATACTTTCTGAAGGCAATGTAAATGTCAGCTCACCCATACAACTCAAGGAACCGTGTTCCATTGAATGTTAGCTTTTCAAATGTGTCTGCTCTTTAACTTTTAACACATAACTGTGAAAAGGTCTTGTCCTCTTTAGGCTTGTTCCAACCCTGCCACCCACCAATTAAATGTGAGGTGACAGGAACAGCCATTAAATATGCATTGCGTTCAGACGGAGTAGGCTGCACGCGTCGCGCTGCACACATTCTTCTTAATGTTTTAAAGTAAACCAACAGTTGCACTGGAAGATGTATTCTGCTTTTCTGCAGTATGGACTCTTCCCAACCCCTGTCAAACTTTCTCACTCTCTTGCATGCACACTAACTATCTCTCTTACACACACACACACACACAAATACTTTACATGTCAAATCACAAAGGAACCACTGACATAGGGGGAAATATTTGGCGTGTGCTTTCAGGTCTGAAGCCTGCTCAGTGCGTCTCCCAGAGCTCTTTGTTCCAATGGAAAGGCACAGTGAGACACAGGCTGTACTTACAGGGAATTAATTACAGTACAGGGTGTTTACCCAGTGGGGTACGAGCACACACACACACACGCACACACTCACTCACTCACGCGTACGCACATACACACAAATGAACTCTTACACACATAAACCCAAATACACAGCATTTCTGCTGTGTGATCCCTGGTGGGCCAAGCCTCTATGTTCCTGTGTGTCGTCGTTCATCAGTGACCAGTCTCACAGCCCTCAGGTCCAAAACAGTGTGATTATTCCTGATTCCCTGAGGAGAGAATTTGGATAAACTGTGCCATTTGGTGTTGCTCTGTTCTAATGTTCCACTTAGTAGCAGGAATGACAGGAAGGACGCTGTTTTCAGGAGTGGTGTATTACTCCAGTTAGATGGTAAGTTGGGTAATTTTATGTGGTATGACATAAGGATCTCCCAGACAGTGGTCCCTGCACAGAGGTCATACACCAGCGTTGGACTGTGGTAGGAGATGTTTCCTAGACAGCACAACATTGTCGTAGTCAAAGTTCTCATCCAGGTTGAAAGGCAAAACCTCTTCACTGTCACTCTGTGAAAAGTCAAAGACACAAATTAAGTTCCCTACACTGTATATAGACAGACCCCTCTCGCATGACGCCAGCACAGAAGGACTGTGGTTGAAATAACCACACTTATGACTGCTTAACATAACTCTCTAACAAAATGTACAAACTGCAAGTCCCATTTTCCTGGTCAACTAATTGCGGAGTCAACTAAGCTGTTCCTGGGATGGGTAAATGTAATCTTCATCTTAGTGTCTTTATGTCATAGCTTAGTGACTGTCCTTCCTCGTACCTGTCCATGTGGTGGCGTGTCCTGCTGCATTCCCCGTGTCCCCGGCCGTGTCCCCGTCCTCCTGGCTGTGGAGGTCAGGTCCAGCTGGGTCAGGTGACAGAAGGAGGGCAGGTAGGCAGGGAGGTCCTCCTCCACCTCCCCTGGTAGGACCCGAACCCCACCATCTGAGAGAAGAGGAGAGAAGACAAACAGGATGAGGACTCAACAGTGTCTTCTTTCTGCTTCTAGCTGTCCTTCCTCAGTCACTTGAAACGGAAGGAGAGAACCTCACACAGGATTAGGACCCCTCTTTGATGGTATGCACAGTGTGGCTTGAATAGGATTCACATAGTGAGACTGAACTGACCATTAAGTTTTCACTCAGCGAAGCCGGCCTTTTCAAGTGGCACTCCTTGAAAAGTGAGTTAATTGTAGTTAACTGTGATTCAGTCAGTCTGTCTCCTGAAGAGGTAAGCCATTGTATTATTTCCAGAAGATCAGAGTAAGGACAGCATTATGCAAATGATTATCGCAATGGCTTTGTTCTGTGCCATCATCAAACACAATTCAGAAGTGTAACAATCAAATTACAGAAAATGAGAAGCAACTCGTTGTTCAATTAAAATCAGACTCCAGTAGGTTGGAAAGGGCTGCTCATCACCACAATTGAATTGTATCACTAGGAAATCATGCATAGAAATTATCATTTTACGAGTAATGATTTTACCTCCTCCTGTTCTCACCTCAGTAAACACTACACGCTGTAACCTAATACAACTCCTGCAAAGCCCAGTGGCTAGTGACGCAAGCCTACCAGAATAACAAAATACCTTCTATGCTCGCTTCGAGGCTAGCAACACTGAAACATGCATGAGAGCACCAGCAGTTCCAGACGACTGTGTGATCACGCTCTCCGTAGCCGATGTGAGTAAGACCTTTAAACAGGTTAACATTCACAAGGCCAGAGGGATTACCAGGTCGTGTACTCAGAGCATGCGCTGACCAGCTGACAAGTGTCATCACTGACATTTTCAACCTCTCCCTGACCCAGTCTGTAATACCTACATGATTAAAGCAGAGCACCATAGTCCCTGTGCCCAAAAAGCACCAAGGTAACTTGTCTAAATGCACTCACTGTAACCATGAAATGCTTTGAAAGGCTGGTCATGGCTCACATCAGACAACCTGGACCCACTCCAATTCGCATACCGTCCCAACAGATCCACAGATGACGCAATCTCTATTGCATTCCACACTGTCCCATCTGGACAAGGCGCTACAGAGGGTAGTGCGTATGGCCCAGTACATCACTGAGGCCAAGCTCCCTGCCATCCTGGACCTCTATACCAGGCGGTATCAGAGGAAGGCCCTAAAAATTGTAAAAGAAACTAGCCACCCAAGTCATAGACTGTTCTCTCTGCTGCCGCACGGCAAGCGGTACCGATGCACCAAGTCTGGATACAGTCCCAAAATGGTTTGCATGTCAGCAGTCAGGTTTTCAAGATATTAGACACTCAAGAACCAAAGTGTCACTTGACACATCATGATGATGCATTTTGCATCATATGATAATTTTTTGGGGCAAGTGTCACTTTGCTTCTTGAAAGTCCAATATCTTGAAAACTTGACTGCTGACATGCAAACCCTTTTGGGACTGTATCAACAGTGGACTAATGAAAAGATTGTCATTTTGTGTGGAGTTTTCCTTTAATTTAGCACCTACATGCTTCACTCCATTTCAAAACATTTTCTCTCAACAGAACACGCTCCAGGAGAATCTGTCTTTCTGCTCCTCCTGTAAGACACATCCAAACTAGTGTCGTACGGTATATCAAAACGTCAGTACTTTTCTGATACTAGAACATGAAAAACGGTTTGGTACTATATACATTTTTTTACTTTCGGTACTTCTGTGAAATGTGTCTCAGGGATCACGCCTGTCTATCTGCGCAGCCGACCCCTTATTATAGCACGCACTGTGCCTGCTCCACTTACTCATAACACACTTGAATAATGCAACACGGCATGTAGAAATGTTGAAACTGTTAATTACTGTTCGCAAAACAATGTCCATAAAGGCTAGAACACTTTACATTGCAAGAAGATAGCTTACAAAGCTGGAAGCTACCGGTAACTTTCCATGCTAGATGACAGCTAAAGCTAACATCCATTCACTACCCTTGTACTTTGTGTGTATGCAAACCAGAAGGCAAAATATGCTGATTTCAAAGCTGATTGCCACCAAAAACTTTATTCATTCACTTATTCAGTCTTCTCTCCCGTCTCTCCCAAAGATTATCTATAGAGTGGTGAGGAGGAGGAGCCCTGTGGACCCATTTAGCCATTCATTGTAGCCATTGGCGCTCTGTAGAGTTGCTATTTTCTTGAGTCAATTAACTTGTGACATTCCTGGATTACTCATTATACTAATAAAGTCAGATTAAATCAACAAATAGTTTAAAAAAGGTTAAGGGTACAAAACTGTGTACATACTGTATCTGGCTGTGTTGGCAAAATCACTAAATATACTATTGAGTCAAGCGTCGAGAGGCTGCCCATTGACACAGTTCCAAGACCAGTCAGAAACGTCCAGCTAACCCTACGCCAATAACGGTGGATCTCAAAACTGAACTTGCATCCGCATTAAGTAGCAATGATATCCTTCGCCACCGATGGCTCGAATCAGTCATGACTATTCAACAAAACAATAAATAATTTTATTTCCAGCGAATTTCTTAGTTACATGATTGTATAACTAGCAACGGAGTTTTGAAGTTGAGGGTGCAGTATTTATGAAGTTTGGCAATGAGGACGAAAACTAGCATAGTTCATTCAGCTAGCCAGCCAGTTTAGCCAGGGAAAACCGGGGAAAACAAGCGTGGGACAGGATATTGCTGGGCGCACATGCGGACTAGGCTAATTCAGTGCACAGACTTGTGTTTTTATGCCCTGATATCAGGAGCTGGTGGCAAAAAGTTCAATTATAAACTGGGTGGTTCGAGCCCGGAATGCTGATTGGCTGACAGCCATGGTATATCAGACCGTATCCAATGGGTATTTACTGCTCTAATTACGTTCATAAACAGTTTATAATAGCAATAAGTCACCTCAGGGGTTTGTGATATATGGCCAATATACCACGGCTAAGGGATGTGTCCAGGCACTCCGCGTTGCATCGTGCTAGGAAACAGCCCTTAGCCGTGGTATATTGGCCATATACCACACCCCCTCAGGCCTTATTGCTTAATTATACTATTCAGTTTTTGTTTTTTCCTTTAAGACAACCAGGTGAGGGGAGTTCCTTACTAATTCGTGACCTTAATTCATCAATCAAGTACAAGGGTGGAGCGAAAACCCGCAGACACTCGGCCCTCAAACAAAATTCTGGTATCGTGACAACACTAATCCAAACAGGACCCACTAAGCCTGCTGTAACTCTGCAGTGAAACGGATCTCTATCAAAATGCAGAGCCACACTATGAACCCATATTTCCTCTGACAGTTTCTCCAGAATACAGATCGTGCAGCACGCAGCAGGAGGACTCAACAGCAGCACGAGAGAAAGGGTCACAGGCAACAGGTGAGGGATGGTTGGGTGGCAGGCATATGAAAGACATCAATGGGTGGAGGAGATTTAATCTGTATTAAAAGGCCTTGGTCGGCTGTAATCATCTCTGTCAGCCAGCTAATGTAACCCACATCCAGAGAACACAGAGAACACAGAGAGAGAGAGAGAGAGAGAGGGAGAGGAGCCTCAAATAGCAGGACTCAAAACACACTCCTGATAATAGGACCCTGACCAAAACATCAGGGCGATGGAGAGCGATAAGACTGAAAAGGCCTAGACAACTGTCGAAGAGAGGGTAGGTATACAATTATGTGTCCCCGTGCGTTCATAAAAGGGAATTTAAATCAATTAGAGAGGAGCAGAGACCATTAAATATTGACACTTCTCCTTTGCTTGGCAGCCACAGGGCCGGTGTTGATCCTAATTAAACAGCTAATTACTCTCACTGTGAAAGTCACACTGGGATGGGAGGACGGAGCAAGGGAGGGGAGGTGGAGGGAGACGAGAAGGGAGGATAAGGAGGAAGCAAGACGAAGCATGAGTGGGTGAAGGGACATCACCTTGTGTAGTATGTGCAGATGAGAAAGTCACACATTGAGCACGGATACATGCACACAATATTATTATTGTGGATAGTCAGATTAATATAATAGTTTAAAACATTTACATGCTTTGCAAAATTAACAATTTCCCTAATAATCCTGTTTACATGGGCACATGTGAAATCAGGCTACCTGATGGGACTTTCGATGCAGAAAATCGACAATCAAAATAAACGTTCTACCACAGAGATCATGTTATTTTTGCGAAGCCTATTCGATTGAGTTCGGACATATAAAGTTTGTATATGACAACTATTTCTAAGATGCATACTTTTAGTTTTTGCGATTTCACGTCACTCACGCATAAGAGGGAGGCTTGTGCTACCGGTGCTGCCACATGCGCAGATCAAATACACCTCTGGAACGCCGATTAAGCTGTTTAAGATGTCCTAATAATTAGAAAGATTGCTCAGAAAACCAGGTGTTTTAATCGGTGTATGCTTACTTTGATTTTGACCTTACACCGATTAAGATAAGCAGAGTAAGGTGTTTACATGACTATTTCCACACTCGGGCTACTGACAAAATCTGTTTAATATCGAATTATTAGTGTGTATGTAAACAAGTACATTTACATTTACATTTTAGTCATTTAGCAGACGCTCTTATCCAGAGCGACTTACAGTTAGTGAGTGCATACATTATTTTATTTTTTTAAACTTCATACTGGCCCCTCATGGGAATCGAACCCACAACCCTGGCGTTGCAAACGCCATGCTCTAACAACTGAGCTACATCCCTGCCGGCCATTCCCTCCCCTACCCTGGATGACGCTGGGCCAATTGTGCGCCGGCTACAACAGAGCCTGGATTCGAACCAGGATCTCTAGTGGCACAGCTAGCACTGCGATGCAGTGCCTTAGACCACTGCGCCACTCGGGAGACTTAGGATGTACTCTCTAAGGATGTTTTAACTAAAGACAAAAATCCCCTGGAGGCCGCAGCTACGGTGGGTTGTTATGTCTTGGAGATAGACACCTTCAGTCAGTGTCAGAATGGGTAATAAAAAATAAACGGGTCTTAAATACATAAAAGCATTGTATTTGGTTCAAAGCATTCTCTTAGACCTAAACCTCAGCCGGAGTTGCGAGTAAAGGGTGTGACCATTGAACAAGTTGAAGAAGCTGAACTCCTAGGAGTAACATTGGATGGTCAGTTATCGTGGTCAAGTCATATTGACAAAGTTGTTGTGAAGATGGGGAGAGGTATGTCTGTTTTAAAAAGATGTTCTGCGTTTTTGACACAAAGATCAACTGTACTAGTTGTTCATGCTCTGATCTTGTCCCATCTTGATTACTGTCCGATAATATGGTCAGGTGTAGCAAAGAAAGAACTAGCAAAGCTGACGCTGGCTCAAAACAAAGCAGCATGCCTTGCCCTTTACTGCACACACAGAACTAACATCAACAGCATGCATGATAGTCTTTCATGGTTGAGGAGAAATTGACTACTTCTCTTCTAGTCTTTTTAAGAAACATGTGTATGTTGAAAATGCCTAACCACTTGTATAATATATTTGCACACACTTCAAACCGACATACAGTACCAGTCAAAAGTTTTAGAACACCTACTCATTCAAGGGTTTTTCTTTATTTTTTTCCTATTTTCTACATTGTAGAATAATAGTGAAGACATCAAAACTATGAAATAACACATATGGAATCATGTAGTAACCAAAAAAGTGTTAAACAAATCAAAATATATTTTAGATTTTAGATTCTTCAAAGTAGCCACCCTTTGCCTTGATGACAGCTTTGCACACTCTTGGCATTCTCTCAACCAGCTTCATGTGGAATGCTTTTCCAACAGTCTTGAAGGAGTTCCCACATATGCTAAGCACTCGTTGGCTGCTTTTCCTTCACTCTGTGGTCCAACTCATCCCAAACCATCTCAATTCGGTTGATGTCGGGGGATTGTGGAGGCCAGCTCGTCTGATGCAGCACTCCATCACTCTCCTTCTTGGTCAAATAGCCCTTACACAGCCTGGAGGTGTGTTTTGAAAAACAAATGATCGTCCCACTAAGCGCAAACCAGATGGAATGGCATATCACTGCAGAATGCGGTGGTAGCCATGCTGGTTAAGTGTGCCTTGAATTCGAAATAAATCACAGACAGTGTCACCAGCAAAGAACCCCACACCTCCTCCTCTATACTTCACGGTGGGAACCACACATGCAGAGATCATCCGTTCACCTACTCTGCGTCTCACAAAGACACGGCAGTTGGAACCAAAAATCTCAAATTTGGACTCATCAGACCAAAAGACAGATTTCCACCGGTCTAATTTCCATTGCTCATGTTACTTGGCCCAAGCAAGTCTCTTCTTCTTATTGGTGTCCTTTAGTAGTGGATTATTTGCAGCAATTCGACCATGAAGGCCTGATTCACGCAGTCTCCTCTGAACAGTTGATGTTGAGATGTGTCTGTTACTTGAAATCTGTGAAGCATTTATTTGGGATGCAATCTGAGGTGCAGTCAACTCTAGTTAACTTATCCTCCGCAGCAGAGTCTTCCATTCCTGTGGCGGTCCTCATGAGAGCCAGTTTCATCATAGCGACTGCACTTGAAGAAACTTTCAAAGTTCTTGAAATTTTCCGGATTGACTGACCTTCATGTCTTAAAGTAATGATGGACTGTCGTTTCTCTTTGCCTATTTGAGTTGTTCTTGCCATAAAATGGACTTGGTCTTTTACCAAATAGGGCTATTTTCTGTATACCTTGTCATAACACAACTGATTGGATCAAACGCATTAAGAAGGAAAGAAATTACACAAATTAACTTTTAAGAAGGCACACCTGTTAATTGAAATGCATTCCAGGTGACTACCTCATGAAGCTGGTTGAGAGAATGCCAAGAGTGTGCAAAGCTGTCATCAAGGCAAAGTGTGGCTACTTTGAAGAATCTCAAATATAAAATATATATGAATAGTGTGTAAATAGTATTTTCTGTTGTCTCCTGGTGTCTTTCCAATATACACTCAGTGGACATATTATTAGGTACACCACACCGTTCACGAAAATGGTTTGTTCCTACAGACAGTGAGTCACGTGGCTTCCTATATAAAGCAGACAGACAGGCATCGAGGCATTCAGTTACTGTTCGATTGAACGTTAGTATGGGCAAAACTAGTGACCTAAGCGACTTTGAGCGTTGTATGATCGTCGGTGCCAGTCGCGCCAGTACCAGCATTTCAGAAATGGCCGGCCTTCTGGGCATTTCACGCGCGACAGTGTCTAGGGTTTACCAAGAATGGTGCGACAAACAAAAAACATCCAGTGAGTGGCAGTCCTGTGGACGAAAACAGCTCGTTGATGAGAGAGTCGAAGGAGAGTGACAAGAATCGCACAAGCTAACAGGCAGGCTACAAACATGCAAATAACAGCGCAATACAACGGTGGTGTGCAGAACGGCATCTCGGAATGCACAACTCATCGGGCCTCATCACGGATGGGCTATTGCAGCAAACAAACACACCGGGTTCTACACCTATCAGCTAAAAACCAGAAGATGCGATTCCAGTGGGCACGCGATCACCAACACTGGACAATTGAGGAGTAGAAAAACATTGCCTGGTCCGACGAATCCCGGTTCCTGTTGAGTCAGGATTTGGCGTAAGCAGCATGAGTCCATGGCCCTATTCTGCCTGGTGTCAACGGTACAGGCTTGTGGCGGTGGTGTGATGAATGTTTTCCTGGCACGCGTTAGGTCCCTTGATACCAATTGAGCAACGTTTGAACGCCATACCTTGTAGAATCCATTCCCCGAAGAATTCAGGCTGTTCTGGAGGCAAAGGGGGGTCCGACCCAGTACTAGATGGGTGTACCAAAAATGAATGTATTACTTATTTTATGTAATATCTTATGTCATTCTTGTCTATAACTGTTCTGTACTTTGTCATGTATAAGTACGTTTTATGTGGACCCCGGGAAGAGTAGCTTCTGCATGTGCAGTAGCTAATGGGGATCCTAATACACTAAACAAAACCTTACATATGCTGTTCTCAGGCGCAACTAAAATCCATCACAGCAGAAGTGTAAAAGCCATCGCAGCCATCACCCCTGACAGTCAGATTCATTCAGATGCTGAGCGGTCATCGATCCTGCCGTAAAGGCAATTACGATGTGCTCAGTGTCAGAAAGACGCAGCAGAACCGCCTTCCCCAACACTCCCCTCCTCCTCTCCACCTGCTTTTACACACAGCACATTGATAATTATTTTGTACATGCTAATCAAGGTGGGAGTTCACTGTCAGACGTTTGTGGGCATCAACACCTTGGACAGGCAGCCAGGGTGACAATGACACCCACCCAGTGATTTTTACACCGTTTGGCATGAGACACTGATACACCCTTAGTCAACCCTCTCCTTATATTACCAATCCACTTTCCCCATCCAGTTAGGAAGGACACACACCAGGCCTGGCTGCAACCCCATTGTAAACACCCTCACACACACAGTATGTTGTGGAGGTGTATGGTTGTTACTGTTGGGCTCAGCATCAGGGTTGGCATTAGGGCCCTGATCCTCTGCAGTTGAATGGAGATGTAGTTTGAATGAGGCCTATGTATCCCTCGTTGCTAAATGAGGACAGAGAGAGCATTAAACCTCAGAGCAGAGAGCCATTGCCCTTAACACTAATTATAGGGTCGGGCCACAATTTGCATGTATTGAAAATGCGTAATAGATGGTAATGTATTTCAAACGAATGGCATGACTAGCCTTATTACAGAAATAATATGCACATGACATTAACTAAATCCTATTACAAGGTGAACTCTTAAATGTCTTCTGAGGCTTACTGGCAAACTGCTTCATGTTTCCTTCTTTACATGGATTATTAAGAATATATTCTACTTTCACTGGAGATTTTCCTTTCTTTGAGAAAAGAATGTAAGAACTCTGGAGCGCTGTAATTTACTGTCAAAGAAGCTTCGATTAATGGAACCATTCTCCGTGAAATAGCATTGTGGGCTCAAAGGCTCATATCAATACTGCATGGCAAGCCGCTAACTTTCTAATTCTACCGTAATCAGGAAAGATTAGGATAAATTAATGTTAATGATGATCCATGCACACTCTTAGATGACTTTAGAAGAAATTAAACAGTTTTAGTTTTTGAAAACAAGAATGCCATTATACAGTGCCAAGAAAGTTATTTTCCACCTTCTACAATGCACTGATCTGAAATCAGTTCTAGAGAACCAGACGCTGTACCTGGGTCAGCAGTTACATCTCCTTCCTCCTCACTGAAGTCCCCAAAATCCAGGTAGTTATCCAGCTATACACAGAGAACAATGGAGAGTTACTCTTCAATCAACAATTCTCAAATAAAAAAACAAGAGAAAGTGATTATTACTTTTCATGTTGTGTATACTACTGTACTAAACAAGTTATAAAGCTGTATTTTGATCGATAGTTGAGACAAAGTATATAGCCGTTTATAATATGTGACCATCATGAGTCCATGTGTGTGACCTGTGTCAGCGATAAAAAATAAATAATACATACCAAATTGCAAGCAATTTTTCAAAGAATATGCACTATCTTACATTCTATTCCCATATTTAAAATACAGTTGGGATATTACAATAACATGACTTTAGTCCACAATATCAACCTTGAGAGTTCTGCCTGGTGGACGACAGTCTCCATTTCCACAGCTGCCCACAGTCACTCCAGCACCCAGCTCCATCTGCAACCAAACCACAGTCACAAAGAGATACTCACTGCCAGATACTCATACTGTATATGACCACTGCACTGTGCTTTTTGCTCAAGCAGTATGACTGTCATTATGATCTCATCACACACTAACAGCTCTGTGGGGTCCTGGCCATTCTACTCCTGTTGCTCTATGGCTCCAGTTGTTACATAGTTACATATAGGAATGTGTTTGGACCGCTGAGTGCCTCTAAGAGTCCTACAGATGCTATATGATCTGGTGCTCACTCAACTCTTCCAAATAATCACCAGTGGAATTAATTGTAAACCAAATATGGGATCCTATCCCAGAGTTTCAGTTTCAGTGTGTAACTTCCTGATGTGTAGTATTGATTACAGCAGAGAGAACTTTTAATCAGAATCATGGTTAAATCAATAGCTGGCATAGCCTGAGGTCCTAAGCACTGTTCATGCTCCAATGTACACATCTGAAGTAAACCTTCCTGCTCCTGAAACAATCCACTAATTTGGTTTAGGAAAATGGGAAAACACTGAAATAGATGGAGGGAACAGAAATAAACCAAGGGAGACCGACAGAGAGAAAAAGAGAGAGAGATACATTTTATTTTATTTTTTTAAATACCTTTATTGGCCCAATAGTTACATCATTAAAATCACAAACTTTACTTAATTTAAAGGACCTAGAAAGTTAGAACCAAGCCCCCCCCCCCCCCCCCCCCCCCCCCCGATGCCCCACACCCCTACAAAGTCCTCCAGATGGTTTGTTTGTTTTGTCATAAGGTAGGACTGCAGGTTTGCAAAGAGAGAGAGAATGAGAGAAAGAGAAAGAGAACGAGAAAGAGCAAGAGAACGAGAACAAGAGAGAGTAAAGGGCTGAGACAAGTGAAGGAGAGTGGAGGGGAGGAGGTAATAAAGTCAGCCTTCAGAGTGATTGAAGCCTGGAGGGGTGGGTTTAGCTGTAAGCCTTGAGTCAGTCAAGCCTGTAGGACAGACAGACAGATCCAGGAGTCACTGACCTCCTCCTGATCAGCAGGCAGGACGCAGACACTCTGCTGTCCTCTCCTCTCTTCCGCCACATCCTCTTCTCCATTCCTCCACCTCTCCATCTCCCTAGAGAGACGACTGGGTCCGGAGGGCAGAGTCGTGTGTCCACTCCCAGCACTCCCTGTGAGGGGAAGGTCAGAAGAGAAAATACAGCTATCTTTGTATCAATTTAATATATGCCTGTAAGGTATCAGCTCTTCATGTTCTAAAGTCACAACCTGCAGGCCTTTGAGACCAGGCTTGGGGTCAATTCCGTTTTCAATTGAATTGCAAAAAATCCTTATGGAAAACAATGGGCAATTTGCAATTCAAATTAGGTGTGTGAACTGCCTGTGAGACTGACCTGGAGTCAGTCCGTGTGTGAAGGAGGACAGGAACTGGTCGTAGGTCTGTTCTGAGGAGCTGCAGAAACACTACAGGGCCTCCAGGACCACCTGGTCATCAGCCAGACCACCTGAGCCACTCTCCACCCCAGGCATCCTGCCACCCAACACACCTGGTTGGCCTGGTACACTGGCAACCCCTGGGTACAGCTCACCTGGGGGAGAAAGGATAATGGGGGAGCGAGAGAGATGTTAAGTACAGTAGCACAGCGGCCATATTAGCTAGGCCCAGGTGGAATTACCCTGAATTACCCTGCTGCCGACACTCTGCTCAATCCCAATCACTACAGGGGGAACCATTAGCATCGCATTAAACAGTGATAAACACTGCAGCAAGTATGATCGTCAGAACATCACAACTGTCACTGCGCCCATTAGCCAAAACCGGAATCTTGCAGGGAAGGACTCGTCAGGTATTGAAACATTATATCGGGGGCAGAAACAGGTGCTACAGCACTTTCAAATTACTCTGTTCTATCAATTATACTCTGCAAATCCCTGCATGGCCTGGGGTCCATCTCCATGGCTCACTGCTGAGCCTGTCACACACGCAACTGCACCGACCCAGCTGCAACATAAAGCAGACCTTCACCAGAACTGTGTTGGTGCCTTAAGGAACTGACTGATTGAGCAGGTATGTTATTCAGTGCTGATTTGGAGGTGTATTATCTTAACTCATAGAAAAAACATTTCCACAGTACCTATTCAGCTGTTAGGAATGGGGAGGGGAGGAATGCGTTATTCCCCCCCTCTCTAAGCAACAGCTCAAAGAGACACAGGTGCACCGCTGCTTGTTTGTTTTTGAGTTCTAACGTTCTTCCAGGCAATCGTGGTTGCAGCCTTTGTTTTGTACACTCCCTAAGCCTTCTCACAGCCCCTCCAAAAACACAAAAACATTATGCTAATGTCAGACATCTGCTTCAAGCTCACTGTGTGTGTGTGTGTGTGTGTGTGTGTGTGTGTGTGTGTGTGTGTGTGTGTCTGTGTGTCTCTCCTCCAGTAGACTACACAAGAAGTGGTTAGGCATAATAGAAAAGGAATTCAAGCTTGAGTAGAACTATAAATTAAATGGAAATAAAGCTGTGCTCTTCTCTTCCCTTCCTCTTCTTCAACACAGTATAATGTAAGTCATGCATCAGGTTCAGTGTACTGTGTGAGGACATGAATCACAGTCCCACTGACTGAGAATGGTACTACACACATGCCACTTAACTGAGGTGTGGAAAATGCCAAACTGTTCACAGAGGGGATAATGATGGCTCTCCAGCTAAAAAAAAAAAGGGATACATACAATGAGGCCCCCTGAATGTTCCACAGCTGTAATGACACACACACACACAGGGAGAGAGACAGAGAGCTAATGGCCACCTTCCCTTAGATGTGAAAGTAGTCTGACAACAATAACGTGGCTGTACTCAGCGTAACAAAGCCAGCTTTTACACGCTCACTGTGAGGAGTCCACAGTAGAAGAATGTGATGGAACAGAGAGGATGAGTTGAAGAGAGTGGCTGGAAGGATTGGTGCACTACATTTGCAACAGTATAAAGGGCTGGCATTTCCATTAATTCCAAACAGATTGCCTTCAAACTGTAAGCTACCTTTGCTTCTTCAAGGTTCAATCACAAGAGCAATGACAACACTAAAGCACAAAAACATTCTTCTTTGCAGAGAAACAAACTCTACTGTACACAACCTATGATTCAAATTAACGTTCTAAAATAATTTAACAAGATCATTGTTTAAATGTTATTACATGAACTGTGATTGTACTACCAGCTCAGTGTTATTGCAGTGTAGAGGGAGCACACCTGCCTGTCAAAAGCGGTCACAGACAGTTAACCTCAAGATCTGAAACTCATCTGAGTCAATCGAGCTTCACAAACTCTGTCAACCACTGTCTGTCTACACAGCTTAGTACTAAAGCTACACAAAGACTAGCCTAACTTATTACAACATTCCACAACATTGTTCTTCGAGACGTTCAGACAGTAGCTACCTGAGCAGGAGGTAAGCAATGCTGAAATGCTGCTTTCAATGGGAGATTTGACACTGATATTAGCTATGATTATAACTCCAATGTGACAAGAATGTCTAGACATGGTCTATAGCTAGCTAGCTACATTTCTTAGACATTCATTGTCACATTGGAGTTTTAATCATATAGCTAGCTAGCTATATATTATATATAGCAAGGATTGTAGTAAAGTTAGCTAGCTAGTTTGTCCTAAATTATCTTTGGCATAAAGACAGAAAACGTTAGCTAAGTAGCATAGCCGTTATTACTGTCTAATTGAGCAGGACATCGCAATGGGACCTCACGTGATTAAATGTAGCAGAACGCTAGCTAGATGGTTTGCGGTGTTTATCGTACTGTTAATCAAAAATCACAGTTTCTAATCTAAACCATCTTTGGCTATATCTCTGCACATCACATCAGAGAATATTGCAGAGGCTAGCTAGCTAACGTTAGTTGGCTATCTTCCTTCCAACTAAGCTTAGCCAGCCAAACATGACCACAGCAGGCGACCACAGCAGGCTACCACATATGCTAATACAATCGAAGCTAACACTTGTATCATAGTATTATGATTATTTATTGTTTACCAAAATGGCTAGCTAACTCGTGTTAAGGAAAATGTGCTAGCTATAATACGAGTAAAAGGTTGATAACAGAGCGTTGGTTTACGTTACCTTCGCTCGGATCCGCTTTGAGCAATGAATGTTGGGAAATGAGTCTTTTGGCTATTTAATGACATGAAAAGAAATCGATTAAAAACTACACATGGGTAAATTTGTCTGACAGTATTTTCTGCAGGTCATAAACGAATTTGGAATAAATAGTTCCTAAATAAACAATAATTAATACATTGGACTGAAAATAAAACATTTGAATCCTACTTGTTCAAACATTGTAAAATGGCCTTGTCCTTTTAAGACTCACGGTTCTGTCATTGATAATCAGACCATAGAATTAGAATGAGTCAGACAACCCAGGTTTAAAAGCCTTCAGTTCAAAACAAGCAGCAGCTGACTCAGACACATTTTTGTTGTTGTTTTTCCACAGCCACCTGCAGTAGCATGTCCCTGCAACCACTGACTGCAGTGAACTGTGGCAGCCTCCTGCAGCCTGGCTGCTCCCTGCTACAGCTGGACGGTGACATATTTCTGTTCGGCCAGAAAGGCTGGCCCAAGCGCTCCTGTCCGACAGGGGTCTTCGGGGTACGCCTAAAGCGTGGGGAGCTCAAACTGCGACCCCATCTCCTTCTCCAATGATTCCTGCTACCTTCCCCCTCTGCGTTGTCCCGCCGTGACCCGCCTTGAGCCCCATGATGGACACCCAGAGGGCTACCTCATCCATGGAGGCCGTACCCCAAACAATGAGATCTCCTCCAGCCTCTACCTGCTGACCCTGGACAGCCGTGGCTGCAACCGCAAAGTGACGCTGCGCTGTCAGGAGAGAGAGTTGGTGGGAGAGCAGCCAGGGCCCCGATACGGCCACACCCTCAGCATGGTGCACAATCTGGGGAAGAGGGCCTGCGTTGTGTTTGGGGGCAGATCCTACATGCCGGCCGGGGAGCGGAGCACAGAGAACTGGAACAGTGTTGTGGACTGCCCTCCTCAGGTGTTCATCATCGACCTGGAGTTTGGCTGCTGCTCCGCCCACACCTTACCTGAGCTCACTGACGGCCAGTCCTTCCACCTGGCTTTGGCCAGAGACGACTGTGTCTACTTCCTTGGTGGCCACACTCTGCCGTCTGACTCCCGTCCTCCTCGTGTGTTCCGCCTGCGTGTGGAGCTCCTGCAGGGCAGCCCTCTGCTCTCCTGTGAGCACCTGGACATTGGCCTGTCCATCACCAGTGCTATTGCCACTCGTGTGGGGCCCTCCCATGAGTACATTGTCCTGGGTGGGTATCAGTCAGAGACCCAAAAGAGGATGGAGTGCAGCAGTGTGGTGCTGGATGACTCTGGGATCCGCATCGAGCCCAGAGAGGCCCCTCAGTGGACCGTGGAAATCAGCCACAGCCACACCTGGTTCGGAGGCAGCTTGGGTGGAGGGAGCGCTCTGATCGGGGTCCCCTCTGAGGGCAGGCCAGCCCCGCCCGATGCACATTACTTCTACCAGGTGTGCTTCCAAAAGGAGGGGGAGGGAGAGGGTGAAGACGGGAACCAGGGCTGCAGCCAGGAGTCCACAGACTTCGAGGACTCCGCCCCTCTGGAGGACTCTGAGGAGCTGTACTTCGGCCGCGAGCCCCACGAGCTGGAGGACAGCAGTGAGGGAGAGGGGGATACGTACAATGAAGAGGATGAGGAGGACGAGTCCCAGACAGGCTATTGGGTCAAATGTTGCCTGGGCTGCCAGGTGGACCCCAACACCTGGGAGCCCTACTACTCCACAGAGCTGCTGCGGCCAGCCATGATCTACTGCTCCAAAGGGGAGGGAGGCCACTGGGTCCATGCCCAGTGTATGGAGCTGACTGAGAGCCTGCTGGTGAGGCTCTCGCAGGGAAACGGCAAGTACTTCTGCCTGGACCACGGGGGCCTGCCCCGCCAGGAGATGACCCCACCACGCCAGGTGCTGCCCCTGAAGAGGAGCCCCATGAAGCTCCAGCACAGGAAGGGCCCAATGATGCCGAAGATTACCCCTGCCAAGAAGCGCTTCTTCAGGAGGCTGTTTGAGTGATGTCTGACCATGTAGTTGAATTACACTTACTCATTGATCAACTGATTCATAATATGTCATTCTAATTATGTGGTCCACATGCCATATCATTGTTTAATGTGCCATTGCAGCAATTTACTGTTTGAGGTTATGTTTGTCAATAATAAAATGCTCTAAAAAGAGTAATACTGTGCTCAAACTTTTGAATATGTAAACTCAGATTGAACTTGTTTTTTTGTAGTTGTGCTACATTTCCAGCGCTTGTTTTTTGATTCCTTACAGTGCTCAATATTGTATGTAATAAACTAAACTAAAGTTTCGCAAAAAAAAATGTAAGAAACTCAATTGAATAAAAATTGAAATTAAAGCCAGAGTCTATTTGCGCAATTTTTTACCCTACATATTACACATAGTGGCTTTGAGGCTTGTTGTGTTCACCCTTGTTTTTGGCAGTCGTTATCAGAGGATGCTTTTAGAACATTAAATGAATAAGTCAAATTAGAGTTTTGTCAAACCGAATTGACTTTGGAAGGTAGGCTAATACTGTCTGGACTGGCACAATTGTATGTAAACCTATAGAATATAATGTATTTTCTGTGGTTGAATGTTTCTGTGGCCATTCACAAAATCTGTTATGATAAAAATAAAAAAATAAACATTGACCAGTTCACACAGGTGTAATAACATAAACCAACACATAAGCTCCATTATCAATGGCAGAATCAAAAAATATTTGGAATACAGGAAAGTTTAATAGTGTGATAAATTCTTTGCTACATTTTCAGTACATTAACAGTATTGTAGAGAGGTATGAACAATTCATTCAGTAATCATCAAACTATAAAAAAGGCCAATAAAACCACCAAATCAAATGAACAAACACAAACACATTAAACAAATGAACAGTGAACAAATGTGCAACAGGCATACAAAAAAATGAGTGAGTGTTTTTGGCAACAGTTGTTATTTTCCTGAGTTTAAATGTACGCTTGAAACATGACAAACCAGCAGATTGAATACACTGCTGATATGAGATTCACACAAACCATATCCATCATCCTTCATGTAGCAAATGCAATTTAATAATAATATTTAACATACCGTCATGTAAAACGTGATGTTATTCTGTGACTGTAACTGCTGTTTAAACAAAATATTAGACATTATGAAAATATGTACATCATCAGGTTAAAGTCATGACAGTAAAATAGAACAAGAACATGTAATGTGTCAAATATAAAAAATTGCCTGTCACAACGGTGACGGCAGAGATAAACAATAACACCAATCAATCAAACAAATAAACGATCAAATCAATTCAGTTCCCCTCAAGGCTCACTTGCTTCCCTTAGTTTCCTCTTAAAGCAGATGGCTGTTCTGCGCCCCAGAAGAGACATAGAGCCAGGGCGTGTGAGGATTCAATAAAGAGAATCTAAATACTTCTTGAGGCAAGCATAAAGGTGTTAGGCCTAGTAATGGACCCTACTGCATTTTCATGCGATCAACAAAAAGGTCAGTTTATATTTTATTTTATGAGAAGAGGTAGAATGGTATTATTTCTCCTTCACTGTGCAAACGCTAAAACAGATAAAGATGGTTTCAAAGTCACCCAGGCCCCCATTTTGGACTTCGGGGACCCGAATATAATGCTCTAAAGCAATATTTTTTAGAAGGCAGCCCTGAAACAAGGACAATTTGAGTCTCTATGATTCCATTTTGTTCCAGCACTGGAGATAAACTAATACACTGATCATAAATGTGAGCTCCTTTAACACAATTTCCCCTCCATGACTTACAGTGCTTTCATTTTCTCCCATAAATAACATCACTGGATAAATTCATGGATGTGTCATAACCCATGCAATACAATAAACTGTCCCATATTTCACAGGCACCCAGAGATAAAACACCAACTATCAAATCATCAAATCATTATGAACTAATGAACTAATATAAAATATTAATATAAAATTAAAGGGATTTTGGGAATTATGTACGGAAATTAAATTTAAGGTAGAAAGCATTTTCAAATGTCCTCAAAGTAAATAATGAATTAAAGAAATAAGTGCCACCTTTTTTGGATTATAACAAATAATAATAATGTCTTTACAGAATAAAGTATCTTACTCTTACATCACTACTAATACATAGTTCATATTGTAGAGTAAATATTACATTTGAAACAGAACAGCAGGGTCACACTGGCCATCTGGCTTTTCGGGCAAATGCTACATGAGCTGGTCCATTTTTAGCCTAGTGGGCATGTCTAACTTGATTTTTTTGCACAAAATGATAATTATCTGGCTAATAATGGGGGCCTCAAGGGAAAAAAATTGTCAGTGTGGGGGACTAGAGGAAAAAAATGTGCCGGTGTGGGGGCCTCAAGGACAAAACTGCGCCAATATGTTAGAAATGCCAGGACCGATTTTTGGTCCGCCCCTGCAGAACAGTACAGTACAGACAGATTATAATTAGACATGCTCCAGCTAAAACATATCATTCCTGTAATCCATAAAGTTCCAAAGAAATGTCAAATTAAAACAATATTTTCAAAAGTCTGGGACATCCAGTGACATGTCAGCATCCTCCTGTGTCTCCTGACTCTCCATAGTGTCAATGGTGGCCTGCAGGGCTTTGGCAGAGTTCTTGTGAGCTTCCATGAACTTCTGCAGGTACTTGGATGTGTAGAGCCAGTGGTGCTTCAGCACATCCTCCAGCTCAAAGGTCTTGGACTGGCGGGCATTCATCTTCCTGAACCGTCTGAACAGCTTGTTCCCAGACTCATTCCCCTCGCTGGCCCAGGCCCCGATGGAGCCATCCCTCTCCACGATCTCTGGCACGTGGGCCAAGGTCTTGTGCAGGTAGTTGGTGATCTTGCCGTCATACCTGTACTTGAAGACGGTGGAGAGCAGCTCTGCGAAGCGCTGGGAGTTGTAGCTATACCGGCAGAGCTGGTCTGGGCACTCCTTGGCCGGGCAGGTGGAGCGCCACACAGGCTTCATCTGGAGGTAGAGCCCCATCAGCTCCCTCAGGGCTTCCTGACGCTCCTCTGAGTGCACCAGCTCACACACTGCCTCCACTGCCTCCCGGGTCATCAGCTTCCGTGCATAGTTCCCATTCATTCTCATCACAGGCTTCAGCTTCATCTTCTTCCTCAGCTGTTTGTCCAGGGCTGCTCGCCAGCTCCGACGCTGCTCCCGGCTGGGGTTGGCCTTGTGATAGACCTCCCCTATCTCATCCTGGAAAATCTTGTAGAACTCGGTGGCGTTGCCGATATCACAGTGCAGGGCGTCCAGTGTGGGCTGGGTCTCCATGAAGGGCTTGGCAGAGACGCCTTTGACTCGGTCTCGCAGCTCCTCAGCTGATTCAGAATAAGGGTTGGTCCTCCAAAGTTCGTAACGCTCCAGGTTCTCATCGTGGCTGCGGGTGACAGAGTGGAGAGTCATGTTGTGGGAGGCCTCTGCCCGAGTAGAGTCGCACAGCGTGCAGATGTAGGTGGAGCCAGAGGCCTCCAAACCCTCCATCTCTCGCACCATCTTCTCGTCGTAGCCCGTGCCCCGGAAGTGGAAGCGGAAGGAGCGAGAAAGGCCGCCCACAAACAGGATGAGACGGCTGTGCTTCATAGCGTTCCTTTCGGCCACCACAGGCCCCAGGACGCCTGTGAGCGTCTCGTGGTCCGACTCATCCACAAACATCAGGCAGAGCGGCTTGCAGGACATCTCTGAGTTGGGCTTGGGCTCCCGGAAAATGGTGATCGCCTCATCTTCTCCCTCAGCTTGAATAGAGATGGACATGATGGTGAAGGAGAAACGCACAGCCTTTTCCGGGATGGCCGGCCCTCCACCATGCTTCTCACTGACGTCCCCCATGCCATCGCAGGACTCCTTGATCATGACGCTGAAGCCCGAGGTGCAAGCGCTGTCCTCCAGGCCTCGCTCTCTCAGCCCCTCCATGATGTCTTCCTCCAGGTCCTTCAAGGCCGACACCAGGGCTACGTCGTAGCGGAACCGACGCGTGACTGTGTCTGCTGGGGAGTCATCCACCGAAGCGACCCACCCTGATAGCCCGTCAATGATCCCCACATGGCAGGATGTGGACACACTCTTGAGGGCCGGCTGCCACTCGAAGGGGTGGTAGCCTGGGAGGAGCTCCTTCTCTGCAGCACGTAAGGTGTGCAAGGGCTGGAAGATCTGGCGCCCACTGGTGGCTTTGACGGTGCGGTACATCTTGTGGTACTGGCTGCAGCTCAGGAACGTGTTGACCCGGATGGCCAGACACACAGCAGGATGCAGGCCAAAGCCCCTGCCTGGAGCCAGAGAGAGAGATGGAGAGAAATAAAGGCAGATATTATGTATTATGAGTACCAAGACTTGTTTATGAATGAGAGAGGTGTCATCGACCTCAGTCACTAGTTAATTCTAGCACTCTGATGATAATTTCAGTATGGAATATCTCTTAATTGCACCCCTGCATTTGCTGTCATTATGAATGTTATGCAGAGGACAGCAGGGTGAATCAGTGAAGCTGCCATAAACTGATGTATTGGCTGCAGATGAAAACAGACACCAGCTGGCCGCTATTCCCCAGAGTGGAGTACGGTGCTGCCTGTATAATTTGCAGATACAAGTGGTGCTGATGTTGTTGACAAGAGTTGTTATTGTGCATTAGAGAGAGTGTGAAAAGGGGAGAGAAAGAGAGAGGGGGGAGAGAAAGAGAGAGGGGGTGAGAGGGGAGGGGGGTTGAGACAGAGAGGAGGGGTGAGAGAAAGAGAGAGACCGACAGAGAGAGAGAGAGAGAAAAGGGGTGTGAGAGGGAGAGCGAGGGAGAGGAACGAGAGGACAGAGTGTGTAACAAGATTTCCCATTTACAAATATCCCACACAGTGGGTAGTTGTCAATGTTTATGTGAACTGCATCTTTGAACATATACAATACTCGAATCTCAACAATAAGTGGCTCAAGGCCTGTGATTACGTTAGATCATGTTTGTTCTATGTGTGAGCTCCTGAATGTCCAGACTCCTACCTTGCATCATGGCCTCCAGTTCGTCTGCCTGCCGGTGTTCATTTCCTGCCCTCAGAGCTAGCAGGAACAGGGTCAGGCACACCGACTTGGTGTCTCCACCTTCTTCCTTCTCTGCAAACACCTTCACCTGGGTCTTCAGGTCCCTCAGCCGGTGCTTCTGGGCACGCCTCGTCAGTGACAAGAGATGCTGTCGGGGCCTCCCCCCTTTGTTGACAGGCAGGAAGTTGTCCAGGCTCTTCTCTGGTGACCTCTGTTCCCCATTATCTTCCTCTAGCTGGTGACCCAAGCAGTGGGTTCTGAAGGAGTCCAGCCGTACCTGCTCCCCACAGCTCTCTCTGGGGCAGAGCAGCGGCAGGGAGTGCAGGACCCCCAGGAAGCCCTTAGCTGGGGCAGTAAGGTCGGCAGGGCGGCAGGGCAGGGTGCAAGCCGGGCAGTGGGGACCCAGAGAGCAGATGTATTTAGCGATGCAGCTGCGGCAGAAGAGGTGTCTGCAGGGGGACTGGACGGGCTCAGACAGCAGGTGGTCACACACCTGACAAGTGACTGAGCTCAGGAAGTCCACAGGGAGGTCCTCGGACAGCAGTCTGACACTAAGGTGCTCTTTCTGGCAGAGGGTGATGCTCTTCACCCACTGAGCTCTCTGGACGCTGGATCTCACCCAGGGTCTAAGTCCAGGTCCCTGGTGAGGATCTGTCACTGTTCTCCAGGCTCTCTTCTCACCAATAGTAGCAGCGTTATCCTGGAGGTCCCACTTGGTCCTCTTGGCCATGCGTTGGGCTCCACGAGTGGGTTTCCTCCTCTTCCTCCCTCTCCTCTGTAGTGAGGGTTTCTTGGGGTGGCAGAGGAGGCAGAGGGTGGTGTGGGGTCTCCACTCAGGGACATGGGTCCTGGAGAAGCTGCAGAAGCCCCCTCCTCGCATGGCCAATGTCCAGCAGCGCTGGCAGAAGAACGACGGGTGGACGACCTCCATGTCCCCCGTCACGTCCACTTTGAAGACCTTGAGGATGACCTCTGGCCAGCTGGTGGCCTTGCAGCCCATCCTGCGCAGGGCACTCCTGCTTGCCTCGTCCAGAAGCCCTTGGACCTCATGCTCTGGACCTTTGGCTTTCCTCAGGGCCCCGCCACAGAGACGACACAGACACCTGCACACACACAGGAACGTTAGGATATTACATAGACCAAAAGTTTGTCTCTCTGATCTTCCAGTATGTTTTAAACAGAGTGAAAGTACATTTCAGAGCTTGTTACTGATTAAAAACCACTCCACTTCCTCGACTGACCTGAGGTGGTTCATGTGTGTGTCCATCTCCTGGAGTTTCAGGTCCACTCTCTTTCCCGGCCCCTCCACGTTCTCCTTGCTCTTACCCCCCAGGCACAGCTTCATCACACTCCCTGGGAGACCCACCACATCCCCCACCGTCTCCCCCAGGGGTGCAGAGGCCACAACCCCAGACAAGGCCCCTCTCTCGGGCTGCGTCTCCCCGGGCAGCGGGGCCCTCTCCATGGACCTGACCCGGAACAGCTTGAACTTCCAGTCTGAGAACTTGGAGTAGGGGTGATGGAGCTCGGCCGGCATGGAGCACCGGGGAGCATTTTTCTCCAGGGTCCCCTCCTCCATAGTGTCAGCAAGGGCTCTGGAGGAGGAGAGGAGAGGAGAGGAGAGGAGAGGAGAGGAGAGGAGAGGAGAGGAGAGGAGAGGAGAGGAGAGGAGAGGAGAGGAGAGGAGAGGAGAGGGAGAGGAGAGGAGAGGAGAGGAGAGGAGAGGAGAGGAGAGGAGAGGAGAGGAGAGATGGGAGAAGAAGCGATAGGGGAGAAGTTAGATGAACAGTCCTAGTCCTACCAGTTTAATTTAAATCTGGTGGAATCTTTGTACAAGGTCCTCTGGAATCCCGTGAACAGGGTGGACATCTGAGATCTGACCCAGTTCTGTATTATACCATAAGTGGCATTTAGATCTTCTGTAAAATGCATGAGACATTCAGGGATCGATCCACTACCAAACAAACTTTATTTCTATCTTCCCGCAATCCTGGTGCTCAGGGAACTGCTGTGGCAATTCTTGCCTTGGACACAGTAAAATTGCTAAATGGACACACCTATCCCTGGAGGGCTGTCAATCACTTCTATTCGTCATTTTCTAGGCTGGAGACAGAATTGGAGCCCCAGGAGGCTCTGACTGGCATTAAGAGCACCCAGGAAAATAAAGAATTTTTCATTTCAGAAAAATAATTATACAGGGATAGGCCTATATTCTTTATATGCCACTCGAATTGAGAGGAAACTGCTCCAAGTGGACCCTGAAGTAGTTATTTTGAAGGGCTAAGACTTCAACAACGTCCACATTCTCATAGTCAACTACTTTGTAGCTCCCTTATACAATAATACCATGTGACTATCAATGTACATTTGCAATGGTATTTCAACCCATGTCCATTCATATACATTCAAGTAGCTCCACTATCAATACATCAATTAAACCAAAAAATAAACAACTATCCGATTCTTACCATGTCACACCATTGGCGTGCCCATAGTGGCATTTTCCTTCTCTCCATCAATGTGTGTGTATATACCCAGTGTGTGTGTTCCCTGGGTAGTTTGGAGGTCTGCTTTACTCTCAGCTCTCTCTGTATCGCTCAGACTGAACTTTCCTCAGAGTCTAACAGCTGAGTCACCCAGTGTGTGTGTTTGTGTGTGAGTGTGTTTGTGTGTGAGTGTGTGTGTGTGTGTGTGTGTGTGTGTGTGTGTGTGTGTGTGTGTGTGTGTGTGTGTGTGTGTGTGTGTGAGAGAGAGAGAGAGCTGGGCTCTTACCTTGTTTTTCAGTCTCAGCTGGCGTCGGTTCCCTTGGGGCTCCTCTCCGCATGGGGGCACAGGGGGGAATTGGAGTCACTGCCTGCACAGTGTGTGTGTATGTTTATGTCTATCTCTGGGCCTTGGGCTGATTCTTGGCTTGGTGTGTCTCCAACTATGGATTGTTACTCCATGGGAAGGATCTCTTTCTGTCTGTCCCTCTCTTCCTCCCTCTGGTATTTATACCCTGTTAGGAGACCCCAACACTGCCACCTGAGACACTGGCAGCTGATCAGAAAACAATATGAGGTTAACCCCAAACACACACACACACACGCACTACCAGTAGATTAACACCTCACACTCCTCACCAGGTGGGGACTCCTCTGTGTCACCCCTCCCCCTTTACCACCCTCCATCTGTGGATTCACCTCAACCAGGTGGTCCAAACTGTGAAAGGGAGAGCGGTGAAAGGTTACCAGTGCAGGGTTTTTATGGAGAACACAGTATATAGCCAGTAGAGCCCTACTTTCACACAGAGGAGCAGTTACATTGTTGTACAGTCTTGTATAGTCTAAGAATAATGGATGCTTCCTCAAGTCAGTGATACAGTCCAACTGTATCAGTAATTCAATTAAATAAGATCAGAGGGAAGAATGCAAACATAATATTGAGTGTGCCGTTGGACAGTGAACCTTTGTTAATTCATCAGATTAATGCTGGCTCCAGTCTTACCAAGAAGACAGACTGTTTTACTGTAAATGACACAATCACTGGAGTGTGAACTTGATCTTTCATTTGATTCTGTTTTGCTTTGGGGGCAATCAAGTAATACCTTTCATTTTGTATCCAAACCCGCCTCCCTCCATGTCTCCATTAAGATGGAGCACTAATTAGAGAGCACTATTTAATATGTTATCTCTGTGGAGACAAACACACAGACAGACAAACAGTATTTGCCCAAGATCAGTCTTGTTAAAATTCATCCAGAGGATGAATGTGGTATCTCTTCGCCTGGGGAGCCTCTTGCTTCGCCGCTGTGCTGTATCTGCCTGCCAAGTCATTAGACACACAGTGAACGGCCCCAGCAGAAGCAGTGGAGTCGTTTGGTATCTGTTCTATCCTACTCATCTCTGCCTTCCACTGTTCCACAGACCCGGAAGGGGGAACACAGACTGTGGCGTTTGTTGTGTAATTTAGACAGTTCTGTATAGTGGTTGTGTTTGAGTGTTGAGAAGGATGTTAGGTTATGTAATTATAGTTGACTGGGATACAATGGGCCACACAAAAAGGCAAGGATAGACAAATCTGAAAAATAAATAAATTGGAGGCAAAAGTTTAAAGATCTGCAGTACACCATATCTGTGGACATGTAGATATCTGTATAGGAACCGATGATGGATTATGAAGACCTAACCCAGCATTCAAATTGGGAATTTGGAAGTGGGGGAGCTGTATTTGGAGGGATAAGTGTTAAAGTTGAACAAGGGTGTGGACATGAAGCTCTGGTTAGGGTTAGGGTTGAACCGGGGTGTGGACATTAAGCTAGGTTTAGGGTTAGTGTTAGGGTAAGGGTTAGGGTTAGTGTTACTCATGTAAGTATAATGTATTACCATTCTAGGGTTAGGGTACTATTATCCAACTTTCTATCCTACTCCTCTTTGGACCCATACGGTGCTGGAGCTTGGCTCTGGGTAGCTCTGGCTCAATTTAACCATTGAACCCAACCCTATGTACAGCATAGTTATAGGTAAGCACAGATGGACAAAGAGACAAACAGACAGACTGACTGACTGACAGACAGACAGATAGACAGAAAGACAAAAAGAAAAAGCTGCAGATGTCTGTCTGTCTAATAACAAGCAGTTGGGGACCCCCTGAGACGCCCATCTCTCTGCCTCTGTTGATTGACTTGTTATTGATCAACTCAACGGCTGGTTGATGTATGTATGGTAATACAACCTGGCAGAGACAGACACCTGGCATGGAGCTGACTGTTATGAATGTGGATTTGGGGACAAGTAGAAGGACTGGAAAAGGAGGAGGGTGATGGATTACTTCCTGTGTCGACCCTGTAAGGAGAGCCGTGACATGGGTCGCTGTCCACGGTGCTGAAGGTCTCTGTGGACGTCTTCTCACATGTTGGAGGTTAAGTGGTCCATCTTACTATGACACACTGCATGATCAAAAAAAGACAAGCTCTGATGAAGACCAAGAGGCCGACACATAAGCTTGAATAAAAAAAGTGATATGAGAAAGAGCAATGTGTGGGTTTCTCTTTTCTTTGAAGTAATCCCATTATTCCCACGCACCTGCAATAAGATAATTCAAATGTACAAGTGCTTTTTGAATTTTAAATACAGACTGTACATTCCAGTGGAGGCTCCTCAGAGGAGGAAGAGGAGAGCCATCCTCAGTGAATTTCATAAAAATAGAAATTGTGAAAAGTTATCCTTTTTAGATAAAACTAATAAATATATTCATGTCACAGAATAATTGATTAAAACACACTGTTTTGCAATGAAGTTCTACAGTAGCCTCAACAGCACTCTGTAGGGTAGCACCATGGTGTTGCCAGAGGACAGCTAGTTTCCATCCTCCTCTGGGTATATTGACTTCAATACAAAACCTAGGAGGCTCGTGGTTTTCACCCCATTCCATAGACTTACACAGTAATTATGACAACTTTCGGAGGACGTCCTCCAACCTATCAGAGCTCTTGCAGCATGAACTGACATGTTGTCCACCCAATCAAAGGATCAGAGAATAAATCTAGTACTGAAAGCATTAAGCTACAGCTAGCTAGCCCTGCAGTGCATAAAATGTGGTGAGTAGTTGACTCAAAGAGAGAGAAAGACAATAGTTGAACAGTTTTGAACAAATTAATTTATTCTAAAAACTGAAGGTAAACCAAAAAAGAGAGAGCTAGCTATATTCTTATTTTTTTCACTTTCACTTACTTAGCTAGCAGATGCAGCTAGCTAGTTTAGCCTACTGAAACACCCGACCCAAACAGAAAGGGATGCTATGTTATCTAGCTGGCTATGGCTATGGCTATCCAACACTGGAACTCTTCCAAGTCAAGGTAAGCTTTTGATTTTATTCATTTATTGCCACCGGGGCCCGCAGGTGTAACTGCTAAACTGCTTGCTAACTGTACTGCATGATTGTAGCAGGTTCACTAATGCGTTAGTTCTAGTAGCTATGTTGACTTGACATTAGCTAATATGGTGACAACGATGTAGGCTGAATACATTGTGTTTTATATTTTTCCAAGTAGCCTATATTGTAGCTTCAGGAACATTGAACTGCATGATTAGAGAATGCTCAGTGCTTCTGCCATTAGTTTATTTTTTCTCTCTTACTCTATAATTACCTTAGCTTGCACACTCTGTTTGTACCACTCTCTATCTACAGAGCATTCAGAAAGTATTCAGACCCCTTGACTTTTTCAACATATTTTTACGTTACAGACTTATTCTAAAATGGATTAAATTGTTTTTTTTTTCCCGCTCATCAATCTACACACAATACCCCATAATGACAAAGCAAAAACAGGTTTTTAGAAATGTTTTTTATTTAAACGGAAATATCACATTTACATAAGTATTCAGACCCTTTACTCAGTACTTTGTTGAAGCACCTTTGGCAGATATTACAGCTTCGAGTCCTCTTAGGTATGACGCTACAAGCTTGGCACAACTGTATTTGGGGAGTTTCTCCCATTCTTCTCTGCAGATACTCTCAAGCTCTGTCAGGTTGGATGGGGAGCGTCGCTACACAGTTATTTTCAGATCTCTCCAGAGATGTTCGATCGGGTTCAAGTCCGGATTCTGGCTGGGCCACTCAAGGACATTCAGAGACTTGTCCCGCAGCCACTCCTGCGTAGTCTTGGCTGTGTGCTTAGGGTTGTTGTCCTGTTGGAAGGTGAACCTTTGCCCCAGTCGGAGGTCCTGAGCACTCTGGAGCAGGTTTTCATCAAGGATCTCACTGTACTTTGCTCCGTTCATCTTTCCCTCGATCCTGACTAGTCTCCCAATCCCTGCCGCTGAAAAATATCCCCACAGCATGAAGCTTCCACCACCATGCTTCACCGTAGGGATGGTGCCAGGTTTCCTCCAGACGTGACACTTGGCATTCAGGCCAAAGAGTTCAATCTTGGTTTCATCAGACCAGAGAATCTTATTTCTCATGGTCTGAGAGTCCTTTAGGTGTCTTTTGGCAAACTCCAAGCGGGCTGTCTTGTGCCTTTTACTAAGGAGTGGCTGCTGTCTGGCCACTCTACCATAAAGGTCTGATTGGTGGAGTGCTGCAGAGATGGTTGTCCTTCTGGAAGGTTCTCCCATCTCCACAGAGGAACTCTGGAGCTATGTCAGAGTGACCATCAGGTTCTTGGTCACTTCCCTGACCAAGGCACTTCTCCCCCGATTGCTCAGTTTGGCCGGGCGGCTAGCTCTAGGAAGAGCCTTGGTGGTTCCAAACTTCTTCCATTTAAGACTGATGGAGGCCACTGTAATCTTGGGGACCTTCAATGCTGCAGAAAGTTTTTATTACCCTTCCCCAGATCTGTGCCTTGACACGATCCTGTCTCGGCATTCTACGGACAATTCCTTTGACCTCGTGGCTTGGTTTTTGCTCTAACATGCATTGTCAACTGTGGGACCTTATATAGACAGGTGTGTGTCTTTCCAAATCATGTCAATTGAATTTACCACAGGTGGACTCCAATCAAGTTGTAGAAACATCTCAAGGATGATCAATGGAAACAGGATGCACCTGAGTGCAATTTCGAGACTCATAGCAAAGGGTCTGAATACTTATGTAAATTAGGTATTTATGTTTTTAATACATTTGCAAACATTTCCAAAAACCAGTTTTTGCTTCGTCATTATGGGGTATTGTGTCTAGATTGATGTTTTTATTTATTTATTTAATCAATTTTCGAATAAGGCTGTAATGTAACAAAATGTGGAAAAAGTCAAGGGGTCTGAATACTTTCCGAACGCACTGTATATACCCTGACCTGAGGTTATCAAGTTTACCATCACACCCACACCATTGCAAAAGTGTGTCACCTCCCTCTCTCTGTCTGTCTCCTCCCCCAGATGATTTGGTTCATTAGGACCCTGATGCTCAGCCATTTATCAACACTACCTGCCAGAATAGATCCCTGTCCCAACCACTCATACTGCCCTCATCCGTCTCTTCCTCTCTCTTTCCCTCTATTTCTCCCTCTCTCTCTCTATCTTTCTCTCTCCTTATCTTTCTCCGCTGTCTCCCTCTCTCTTCACCCTGACCTTGCTAATAGTGAATTAATGGAATGATGGAGATTCATTACTTGCTCCCTCCCTCCCTCCCTCCATCCCTCCCTCCCTCTCAGGTAGAGCCTCCATAATCACAGGCTGACAGAGAGGGGACAGGGGAGGTGAGTGATGTCATCTAGAGGCCTTGTTGGGGCTGGTCCTGCGACGTGACCCTGTGTGATGGGACTGTGTTGGAGTCATCCTGTGGAGAGTGGTATGGTTTCAACACAGAGCTGAAGTACACACACTCAGCATCACTGCTCTCACCATTTGTCCTCAAATGTTCTTCTCTCAAGTGCAAGCATTGTCAATATTATAATACATTTGATTAATATTGCCCTCTACCTGGTGCTCAAAGATCTTTATGTTGATTATGTGCAGATCTTGTTATTTTACATTGTTCTGTTCTGTAGAGACTAGATGATATAGGAAACATATTTGTTAAAATAACGTATTTATTACAAAGGAATCCCCATACTAATCCCATACCAATGTATTCTTTCTTAAAGAACTCCTGAGTGGCGCAGTGGTCTAAGGCACTGCATTGTAGTGCTAACTGTGCCACTAGAGATCCTGGTTCGAATCCAGGCTCTGTCGCCGCCGGCCGCGACCGGGAGACTCATGGGCGGCGCACAATTGGCCCAGCGTCGTCCAGGGTAGGGGAGGGAATGGCCGGCAGGTATATAGCTCAGTTGATAGAGCATGGCGTTTGCAACGCCAGGGTTGTGGGTTCGATTCCCACGGGGGGCCAGTATAAAAAAATATGTATTCACTAACTGTAAGTTGCTCTGGATAAGAGTGTCTGCTAAATGACTAAAATGTAATGTTAAAACTGCATTGTTGGTTAAGGGCTTGTAAGTAAGCATTTCACTGTTGTATTCGGCGCATGTGACAAATAACATTTGATTTTATTTTATTGAAGAGAAGCCTGCAGGGGTGAAAGTAAGCCGGTACGGTCCGGTAGTTAGGTAGGGAGTACAGGCTAAATAAATAGTGGGGGTACAGCGTTACGCCGTTCCGGTAAAACATGAGCCTATCACAATAATTAAAACAAAGATGCCAAGAAAACTGTAGGCTTAAACTATTATTTATCATTAGCGCATGTCAGTCGCATGAAAAATTAGCAAATGGACTTGAAAACGTGTGGAAATACACTACAACATTTTCCAAGGCAGAGATGAGTGGCCGAGAGCGAGACGCACGCGGACAGCAGTGGACGCATCAATTCAGGTTACTATTGTAGGCCTATTTGACAATCACCGAATGTCATTCATAACATTTTGGGTGTTTTGTAACAGATGTCTCTTTCCATTCATCAAATAGTGGGTGCACAGTGCACTCTATGGATGCGGAAATACTTTTTTAGTGGACGAAAGTGCGCAGGTAGCCAGGCTTACAGGAGCGTTGTGAAGTGATTGTTTGACAATAAGATGAAAAAAATCATAACTAGTTGTGTTTATGCCACATTAATAGGTAATACATTTAAAAAGTTAAACAACAAATCTTTACTACAACAAAGATCCTTTAAATTAATAGGGATTCGATAAGTAATTCTATGACTAGGCCCGTACAATTTTTTGAAGCATGTGCGTGCACACATAGGAGGTCCCATACGAGAAGAAGTTAAATCTATTTTCACTACTGGAAGCCTGGTAGTATGTTTACAGACAGTACCCCACACCAGGAAGTAAAACATAGGTCTGATCAAGAGGCAGACACTCCAGATGGTTCTGATCCACTCTCCATAAACCCAAATCAAATTAAAGCCGGATTCAGGGACACCGGAGTAGTGTGGGGAATACAGCCTGGTGTCTTTAATAAAAAAAACAATGCTCTTTAATTCTGTGTTAATTAAATGTAGATTTCCCTGAGTGAGGAGAGGGGCACCAGTGCGCCGGGGGACCCCCAGCCACGTAAACACTCGCTCAGAGGATTTGTTTCGTGTTTAATCGCCTCTTAGTTCTTTTTTAGAAATCCATGCAAATGTACACAGCCAGCCCATCACCAGCAGGCTAGTGTCTCCTGGAAGAACCTCCTCAAACAATTACAGGAGTGTGCTCAGTCTCTTTCAAGACGCCAATACTGTATGCTACTGCTACACCTGGACAGATGTGGTGGAGCTCTTCAACGCTTATCTGGTTATTAGCAATAGTATCATGGAACTCTACAGAGGTTGGTCAGTTGTGTTTGAAAACTTGTAGCCATCCTTCCCCAACAGAGAAAGCACCGATTCCTCCCAAACCTGGGGATATTTTCTCTTTCTTTCTTTCTGTCTTTCATCTCATCTTTCTCTCCATCAGTGTAATGGGCATGTCGCTGACCACAGGAGAAAGGTGTGAAGAGAGACAGAGAAAAAACAGTCATCCTGCTTGTTTGAGGGTGAAAAGAGCAGCGTTGTCTGTCAGCTCCAGCCCCCAGGGCCACCAGGCCCCCCAGGGCCCGCAATCCCTGACAGTCCCCTGGTATGGTCTCCACTCTCCTGGAAGAAGACAAACGGCGCTGCTCCCAGACAAAGATCTGGTTATTATTTTCCTGTCCTTTAACTAAAACATCCATTATGGGAAATGCCAGGACGACCGTGCCCTTTTCAATGACGATGGTGTCATAGCTCAGACGGGGACAATGGCATCGTGACACACGCTGATTCAGGACTGATTTAGAGTGGCTGATCTTTAAACCAATTCACAGCCTAATGATGTGAGGGGGAGGGAGAGACTGAGAGGAGAGGGAGACACTGACGTCATCTGGAGGCTGGCTGGTCAAGTTGGCGAGAGAAATAACAGGCAGAACCAGAGGAGAAAAAGGGGTGAGACGTGGAGAGGAGGAGCAGGAGGAGAGGAAGGGGGAGAGCACTGAGGGGTAGAGACTGTTGTCTTCTGGAGGTTGGCTGGTCCAGTTTGAGAGAAATGGCAAGCAAACACACCATGAATCACAGAATACAGCGGGGAGACATTATTTTACCAGCCTGGCCCTCTCTATCTCTCTATTCAATTTCAATATAAGGGCTTTATTGGCATGGGAAACATATGTTTACATTGCCAAAGCAAGTGAAATAAACAATAAAAAATGTACAGTAAACATTACACTCACAAAAGTTACAAAAGAATAAAGACATTTCAAGGGTCATATTATGTCTATATGCAGTGTTGTAATGATGTGCAAATAGTTAAAGTACAAAAGGGAAAATTAATCAACATAAATCTAGGTTGTATTTACAATGGTGTTTGTTCTTCACTGGTTGCCCTTTTCTTGTGGCAACAGGTCACAAATATTGCTGCTGTGATTGCACACTGTGGTATTTCACCCAATAGATATGGGAGTTTATCAAAATTGGATTTGTTTTCTAATTCTTTGTGGGTCTGTGTAATCTGAGGGAAATATGTGTCTCTAATATGGTCATACAATTGACAGGAAGTTAGGAAGTGCAGCTCAGTTTCCACCTCATTTTGTGGGCAGTGTGCACATAGCCTGTCTTCTCTTGAGAGCCAGGTCTGCCTTCAGTGGCCTTTCTCAATCGCAAGGCTATGCTCACTGAGTCTGTACATGGTCAAAGCTTTCCTTAATTTTGGGTCAGTCACAGTCAGGTATTCTGCCACTGTGTACTCTCTGGTCAGGTATTCTGCCACTGTGTACTCTCTGTTTAGGGCCAAATAGCATTCTAGTTTGCTCTGTTTTTTTGTTAATTCTTTCTAATGTGTCAAGTAATTATCTTTTAGTTTTTTCATAATTTGGTTGGGTCTAATTATGTTGCTGTCCTGAGTCTCTGTGGGATCTGTTCATGTTTGTGAACAGAGCCCCAGGACTAGCTTGCTTAGGAGGCTCTTTTTCAGGTTCATTTCTCTGTAGGTGATGGCTTTGTTATGGAAGGTTTGGGAATCGCTTCCTTTTAGGTGGTTGTAGAATTTAACTGCTCTTTTCTGGATTTTGATAATTAGCGGGTATCGGCCTAATTCTGCTCTGCATGCATTATTTGGTGTTTTATGTTGTACACTGAGGATATTTTTGCAGAATTCTGCATACAGAGTCTCAATTTGGTGTTTATCCCATTTTGTGAATTCTTGGTTGGTGAGCGGACCCCAGACCTTACAACCATAAATGGCAATGGGGTTCTATAACTGATTCAAGTATTTTTAGCCAGATCCTTATTGGTATGTCGACTTTTATGTTCCTTTTGATGGCATAGTAGGCCCTTCTTGCCTTGTCTCTCTCTCTCTCTCACACACACACACACACACCAACCTGTTGGTCATGAGGGTTCTCCTCTAAAGGAGGCATAGGTGTGTGGACACACCTGCTTAAGAAAGTGTTTTGTGATGGGGTAGATTTGGAGATATTGATACCGTTGCTTTCCATATCAATTTTGTATCTTTTCCCCCAACTATCAACAAAACATGTTTCTAACTATCGAAGCCAGACCTAGAGCGATTTACGTCTTGCATGGATAAGAAGCGCCTCATTGCTAGACACCCATTTTAAATAACACAAACCTGTATGAGAGGTCCTGCAAGAGCATGAGGGAGAGAGAGAAGAGAGAGGGGAAGAGTAGATTGAGAGAGAATTGACGATGTAACAGATTACCAGACGGGAGATCTCGTTAATTCAAGTCATAGAAGATAGAGATTTAATCTATGAAGAGAAATGAGGAAAGTAGACTGACAGATACGAGAGAGAGAGAGAGAAGAGATAAGATTGAAGAGAAGAGAGAGATGAGGTATTAGGATCGAGCATAGAAGCTAGGAGAGAGAGAGATGCAGAGTCAGACAATGGACGAGAGTCTGAGGATGGAGATAGGATCGACGAGATGATTTCTCGCTAGCTACTTGAGCAGCACGTAATGCGTAGAGAGATCGATATGTACTTCTCATTTCCGCGGCTCTCTATCTTATCTATCCTGCGCCGCTCGCGCTCCTCCTATCTCTCTCTCTCGCTCTCTCTCTCTCTCTCTCCCTCTCGGCTCTCTCCTCTTCTCTCTCTCTCCTGCTCGCGCTATCTCTCTCTCTCTCTCTCTTCTCTCTCATCAGGTAGAATACCTTTAATACAGAACAATGGAAAGTTTCTCTTTAGGCTATCATTCTCATCACCTTTTTCTACTAATCTTTTTTTTTATACAAGGAAATGTCTGTTTCGATATACTTACCTTCTCCCACCACAGCTCTTTACACTATTCTAAATTACTTGCCTACACAAAACAGTAAATGCAGAAATGTTTCTGCCACCAGATTTCTGTACCTGTCTCTCTCACCACCACATTGCTCTTTCCCCAACCTTCTCCTTCAGATAGCTTTGTCAATGTGAACAACAGTGTAAAGAAAGTGTGTGACTCTACTTCGGCAGGTATAGGGCCAGGCCCATTATTTCAAACAGTCCTATGAGTAACTTCACACCACGCGTCCCCAAAGCAAGCACACTCTATATGCAAAGCAGAGGCATGCAGTTAAAGAAACTGGCATCGAGTGATTATATTTGTAATTTAATTTCCTTGGTCACCGGGAGATAAGGGACGGGAGCGACTGCAGTTGGCCAGGCATGAATAGAGAGATGAGAATGGAGCCACAGGCGTACACAAAAAGACACACACTAGCTAGGTGTCCATCCAATTGGCAAGAGATTTTCATGCTAATATTCTAAAATCTGCATAAAAACAATATGCGCATTACCCACCAGAGATGTGTTTCCATAAAATTGACTTGTTGTGGATAAAAGGCTGTGTGTGATGACGTACTGCACATAAAAATAACTTTTATGGTTCAATTCCCATGTACAAGTGAAATGGGTTTCCATCGCATTTTCAACTCTACTGATGGTTTTGTCACCAAAACATTTTTGTGTTATATAGCGAATGTGCCCACTCTGGTCTTGGCATGTGCGCTCTAGCCAACAGCAGGCAGATACAGTGAGGGCAGGCTACCTACATATTATGCAGATTATTATTTTTATTTGTCAAATGGCAGCCAAGCATCGATCATCATGTCACCAGAATAAGACTCTCAATATTTATTGAAAGGCACATCAAGCTCATCATTGTGCACTTTCACCACCCTGTGAAGTTCATCATAACTTATTTCATCTGTAGCGAAGTAAACTGCATGCTTTCCCGAGTCGTAGTTGCAGGACCCCAGGAAGAGTAGCTGCTGCCTTGGCAGCAGCTAATGGGGATCCTTAATAAATACAATACAAATACAGTAGTGGGAGCCCCACACAACATATCATTGTGTGACTCCAAGTTTACTTTGATATGATGGTTATTATATCAATATTTGAGCATAAAGGCATTTCCACTGACTTTTCTCTAGCATAATTAATTTCACTGACACAAAAAGATCCCACCTTGTCTAGAATATTTTGCTTTGTCGACATTTGGAAAGTTTACCGTCAAATTTGCTGTTACCATCAGGCCTGACATTTTTTTATCCAACTTGTACTTTACATAAAAAGGTTGGATGGAAACCTGGTTCCCCAAACACACACACACACACACACACACGCACACACACACACACACACGCACACACACACACACACACACACACACGCACACACACACACACACGAACACACACATACACGCACACACACACACACACACACACACACACACACACACGCACACACACACACACACACGCACACACACATACACATGCACACACACATGCACACACACATACAAATGCCTGGGCTTATACAGAAAGGTTTTAGTTTTTTCCTTTCAATTAAGACATAAACAACCAGGTGCGAGGAGTTCCTTACTAATTAGTTACCTTAATTCATCAATCAAGTACAAGGGAGGAGCAAAAACCCACAGCCACTCGGCCCTCCATGGAATGAGTTTGAAAACTGTGATCTAGTGTCATGCAGCAGAGGAGGAGAGACAGAATGACACACACAGCGTTTCATTTGATTTTAGCTGCCGGTAATGTTTGTAAATTAATTTGATCAAGCTACGTAGCCTATTGATTCCTTCTTGATGAATAAATAAAACAAAAATGTTTTGTTGTTTCTCTGTAGTACCAGCCACCTAGCAAGCCAGCTAAATAGGTTCCTAATCTCCCAACCTCACTAGCATTTGACAAAAATTATTGGGTTATGATACTATATACCAGTGTGGCAGTTGCAATAAACTCCTACGGCATAAAAGTTCTTTAAAAAATCGATGTGCATCATTAATTAAAAGAGGTAAATGTTTTACATATAATTAGGCATAATGACTATGGCTCTAGCTGTTTCAGGTGTTTGAAAAATGCAGGACCACCCACCCCCCCCCACCCTCACGTACTTCATGCCCCCTCTAAAATAATGGGTGCATGACACCCCTTGGTGGTCTGGACGAAACAGGACGCCAGTAACATTCACCAGGAGAGACGGAAAGCCAGGGTCCTCCTTGCAAGAAGGGAGAGCCTGGACACCAGGGCACTGAGTTTACTCTCCTCACGTCCATGTCCACCTTTTTCTCTCTCTTTTTTTCTCTCTCTTTTACTCTCTCCCTCCCTTTCTCTGGGAGACCAAACATCTTCTGATATTTCCATTCACATAGATACTGTAGACTGACCATTTATATTGAATGACTAAAATGTAAAATGCAATGGAATTGAAGGCAGAGAGCCCATAATAGAGAGACCATAACTATTACATTAGAGCGAAGAGAGAGCGAGAGAGAGTTAAAGAGAGAGACAGGGGAGGCAGAGAGAGTGGAAGGGAAAGAATTCTGATGGGCTTTTTATCAAGACAGGTCTGTGACACAACACAATTCAAACATTTGGTAGACTACAATGAAGAAACGTTAAACCATCTTCTGACTTCTCAAATCCCTACTCTCACTCGCTCCACCATCTCATCATTTCCACCTGTTTCTCCCCTGCTGTCTTGTATTCCTACATTTCCCCTCAGTGTCTCTGCTCTAACGTAACAGCATTTAACTGTCAGAGAAGTTACAAATATTCACGATTAATTATAGAAACCACCGAAAAATACAACTGCAGAGAGCATTGAGTTCCTGCTTTATTTCATAATTTACTGTCCTCCAAGACAGAGACGTAGCTGAATAACAGCTGACTTATTAAGTCGACCGCCACATCCTGGCTCCTAATAAATATTCCGAAATATTGTTCTTCATCAGGGTTTGTCAGGGTTTGTCTGTAATAAATCAAGGTACACGCAAACGTGTGCGCACTTAGTCACACACACACACACACACATCGTATGAGTCCATCTTCCGTCATTTCATTACTCATCAAATGACAGCAAAAATATAACACGTTACACTAGCACCACCAAAAGGCCAAGTTGGCAAACAACACTAAACAATCCTCTCTCTCCCTTTCCCTTCATCCTAAGCTATTATTTTTTCTATATTACTCTCTTTCTCCATCTCTCTCTCTCGCTCCATCAGACTCGGTTTCTCTCTTACCCTCGCTGTTTCTGTCTCTATCTCTCAGTGGGTTGAGAGAAAGGTGAAGTGGGTAGGGGAAGTGAGTAGTAGAGGGGTTAAGTGATACTGTGTATGGGTTATATAGAGGGGCAAGGTCACACGGTAAAGGAGTCACACTCCCACTCTAAAAACTGCCATGTCTTGTTTTACAATCAGGGCCAAGTCTTAATGCTATGTATGTATTTGTTAGTGCTTTAATGCAATACTAACAAGTAATTGTTCAAATATATCTTTCATGCAAAACATCTCTAATTAGTGCTTGGTAATTGAGTCACAGTCAATTAACATCTATTTGGGGGGGGGGGGGGGGGGTGTATATGCAAACCTACATAACATTCTGTTTTTTACTGATAATCCATTAATGTAACATATCATCTGATAAAGTACTTAGTTGACTATATTTTGGTATCATTTCATGTAATATTTCATCATGAAAATACAAATAATCCAAAGAGATGTCCATTAACAGAGTTACAAACGTGCAAAATAGCATATTGCAATATAATTATCTCTGGATCAGTATTTTTAGGACAATATCCTGATGCAAAATTGAATATCTGTCATGGAGCCATTTGGGAGTCATAAAATGCATACACATTATTTGAAGTAAGATGATTTGTTTAGTTTCTGGGAAGCTGTGACTATCACCCAGCACTAATAATGTTTTTGCATGACAGATATATTTGAACAATTACTTGATAATATTGCATTAAAGCACTAACAAATACCTTCAAATACATATATTGCACTAAGATTTGGCCCTGATTATAAAAAATATCTGCTCATTTCTATAGTGGGAGTGTGACTCCGTTACCACATGGCCTTGCCCAAAGGTCTCAAAAAGCCAGGCAGAGAGCCACAGCTGTGTCTGATGAAGGGCCGTGCTCTACTTAAATGAAGAGGCCAGGGAAGGGTCACATCTCCATGTATACACAATGTCAAAGAGTGGAAAGACCCAATCTCTTGAAGAGCAATACAGCACAAGGGAGAAATTCACAACATGAGTATCCTCACATTCAGTGCAGCTGGATGCACTACACACACACACGCAATAACACTACACACCACCATGTTTGTTGTCTATGTACATTTACATTTTAGTCATTTAGCAGACGCTCTTATCCAGAGCGACTTACAGTTAGTGAGTGCATACATTTTTTTTCATACTGGTCCCCTGTGGGAAACGAACCCCCAACCCTGGCGTTGCAAACGCCATGCTCTACCAACTGAGCTACACAGGACTGTGTAGAGAGTAAGGGAGCACTTGACCCTATGCATGGGTCACGCTATCTAGCAAGACAACCTTCAATGACATTCCACTCTCATTCCAACACAAATTAGTCTCTACCCTGTTGATAAATTGAAAAAGAGACCCAAATCCTTGGTGGATTTAATAACACACTCATTAGCAGGCGCCAACAGGGTGGAACTGCCTTTTAATTAGAGCAACACCTGATTAACGGCCAATTAACAAAGCCAGAGCCTGTTAATTCTCCCCTACTTTAACAAGGATCAGGACGTGAACATGGGGCAGGATGGCAGGCAGGCAGCCCACTCTCTCCACTCCTGTTGGGGAATTAAGAGAAGAGAGAAGATTGAGAGAACTAATGAAGGGCTGTGAGAGAGACAGGTAGCTTGGCAGTGCTGAGTAGATGGCTGGCATGAGTCAACTGTACTGCTGGATGTGATGGTTCTACTGCTCATGGGGGAAGAGGGGTGTAATAATATGGCTGTTTGTGGGAGTGCAGTGTGATATCCAGTGGCTTGGCACTGGCAGGGCAGGGGACTGTTCTCTGGTGATGACAGGAAGACGTCTGGAGCCTGGTGGAGATACTGGTTAACAGGGCTGAGTAAATAAAAACAGCAGTTTATTCATCTGTTTTTAAAATGTACAATATCAATAATATCACAGTCACACAGCAAAAACGTTGTAATATCAATCACTTTATAGTGGTGACGGGTATCAAGCTTTCTGATAATATTTACATTCACATAGGATTTAGAGGTATTAGTTAAACTGTTAAACTGTAAATGTATGTATCACTTTCATCTAAATTCAATAAATAGTGATCCCACTTTGCACATGAACAGCCAAAATGTGTGACTTTCCACATATTAATGTTGAATACTTGCGAACATATCACTACTGCCAAGCTGTATCAAAAATAGCTTTTTCCACATCAAACCTTGGTCATACTCACCACATGACACTTTTGGTCACTTTAATAATGTTTACATACTGTTTTACCCACTTTATATGTATATACTGTATTCTATTCAAGGCTTATCCTATATAACTACTGCTGTACACACCTTTTCTATTCATATACTGTCCATACTGTCTATACACACCATTTCCTTCTTAATGCGTTTGAGCCAATCAGTTGTGTTGTGACAGGGTAGGGGTGGTATACAGAAGATAGCCCTATTTGGTAAAAGACCAAGTCCATATTATGGCAAGAACAGCTAAAATAAGCAAAGAGAAACTACAGTCCATCATTACTTTAAGACATGAAGGTCAGTCAATACAGAACACTTCAAGAACTTTGAACGTTTCTTCAAGTGCAGTCACAAAAACCATCAAGTGCTATGATGAAACTGGCTCTCATGAGGACCACCACAGGAAAGGAAGACCCAGAGATACCTCTGCTGCTGAGGATAAATTCACTAGAGTTACCAGCCTCAGAAATTGCAGCCCCAAAAAAAACAGTGTCTGTGAGATGCAGAGTAGGTGAGCGGAGGATCTCTGCATGTGTGGTTCCCACCGTGAAGCATGGAGGAGGAGATGTGATGGTGTGGAGGTGCTTTGCTGGTGACACTGTCTGTGATATATTTAGAATTCAAGGCACACTTAACCAGCATGGCTACCACAGCATTCTGCAGCGATACGCCATCCCATCTGGTTTGTGCTTAGTGGGACTATCATTTGTTTTTCAACAGGACAATGACCCCCCCAAAAAAACTCCAGGCTGTGGAAGGGCTATTTGACCAAGAAGGAGAGTGATGGAGTGCTGCCTCCACAGCCTGGCCTCCACAATCACCCGACCTCAACCCAATGGAGATGGTTTGGGATGAGTTGGACCGCAGAGTGAAGGAAAAGCAGCCAACAAGTGCTCAGCATATGTGGGAACTCTTTCAAGACTGTTGGAAAAGCATTCCTCATGAAGTTGGTTGAGAGAATGTCAAGAGTGTGCAAAGCTGTCATCAAGGCAAAGGGTGGCTACTTTGAAGAATCTAAAATCTAAAATATATTTAGATTTGTTTAACACTTTTTGGGCTACTACATGATTCCATATGTGTTATTTCAAAGTGTTGATGTCTTCACTAGTATTCGACAATGTAGAAAATTGTTCAAATAAAGAAAAACCCTTGAATAAGTAGGTGTGTCCAATCTTTTGACTGGTACTGTATATATACACTGCTCAAAAAAATAAAGGGAACACTTAAACAACACAATGTAACTCCAAGTCAATCACACTTCTGTGAAATCAAACTGTCCACTTAGGAAGCAACACTGATTGACAATACATTTCACATGCTGTTGTGCAAATGGAATAGACAACAGGTGGAAATTATAGGCAATTAGCAAGACACCCCCAATAAAGGACTGGTTTTGCAGGTGGTGACCACAGACCACTTCTCAGTTCCTATGCTTCCTGGCTGATGTTTTGGTCACTTTTGAATGCTGCCGGTGCTTTCACTCTAGTGGTAGCATGAGACGGAGTCTACAACCCATACAAGTGGCTCAGGTAGTGCAGCTCATCCAGGATGGCACATCAATGCGAGCTGTGGCAAGAAGGTTTGCTGTGTCTGTCAGCGTAGTGTCCAGAGCATGGAGGCGCTACCAGGAGACAGGCCAGTACATCAGGAGACGTGGAGGAGGCCGTAGGAGGGCAACAACCCAGCAGCAGGACCGCTACCTCCGCCTTTGTGCAAGGAGGAGCAGGAGGAGCACTGCCAGAGCCCTGCAAAATGACCTCCAGCAGGCCACAAATGTGCATGTGTCTGCTCAAACGGTCAGAAACAGACTCCATGAGGGTGGTATGAGGGCCCGACGTCCACAGGTGGGGGTTGTGCTTACAGCCCAACACCGTGCAGGACGTTTGGCATTTGCCAGAGAACACTAAGATTGGCAAATTCGCCACTGGCGCCCTGTGCTCTTCACAGATGAAAGCAGGTTCACACTGAGCACGTGACAGACGTGACAGAGTCTGGAGACGCCGTGGAGAACGTTCTGCTGCCTGCAAAATCCTCCAGCATGACCGGTTTGGTGGTGGGTCAGTCATGGTGTGGGGTGGCATTTCTTTGGGGGGCCGCACAGCCCTCCATGTGCTCGCCAGAGGTAGCCTGACTGCCATTAGGTACCGAGATGAGATCCTCAGACCCATTGTGAGACCATATGCTGGTGTGGTTGGCCCTGGGTTCCTCCTAATGCAAGACAATGCTAGACCTCATGTGGCTGGAGTGTGTCAGCAGTTCCTGCAAGAGGAAGGCATTGATGCTATGGACTGGCCCGCCCGTTCCCCAGACCTGAATCCAATTGAGCACATCTGGGACATCATGTCTCGCTCCATCCACCAACGCCACGTTGCACCACAGACTGTCCAGGAGTTGGCGGATGCTTTAGTCCAGGTCTGGGAGGAGATCCCTCAGGAGACCATCCGCCACCTCATCAGGAGCATGCCCAGGCGTTGTAGGGAGGTCATACAGGCACGTGGAGGCCACACACACTACTGAGCCTCATTTTGACTTGTTTTAAGGACATTACATCAAAGTTGGATCAGCCTGTAGTGTGGTTTTCCACTTTAATTTTGAGGGTGACTCCAAATCCAGACCTCCATGGGTTGATAAATTAGATTTCCATTGATAATTTTTGTGTGATTTGGTTGTCAGCACATTCAACTATGTAAAGAAAAAAGTATTTAATAAGATTATTTCATTCATTCAGATCTAGGATGTGTTATTTTAGTGTTCCCTTTATTTTTTTGAGCAGTGTATATATATTCCGGACTCTGACATAGCTCGTTCTGCTATTTCTTTATTTCTTTATTTTTTGGATTTGTGTGTTTTGGTTTGGTTTGTTAGGTATTACTGCACTGTCGGAGCTAGAAACATAAGTATTTCGCTGCACCTGCGATAACATCTGCAAAATATGTGTGTGCGACCAACAACATTTTATTTTATTTGTCTAATATTACATATTTTCAGAGTGCTTCTGTGAACATTCTCCTACAGTGGAGAAATCTCTGATACAGACATGGACTAGAAGCTCCTCTCCCTAGTGAACATGGACCCCTATCAGCTGTGTGCTCAGTCCAGTCCAGTTCTGCAGTCAGCTCAGTGTCTGAACCTGAAGAAGGTTACACTAATACACCATCACTGTCCTGTGTCCTCTCTATTCCTCCTCTCAGGGTACAGACATGTACCTCCTCAGCCCTCTCTCAACGTCTTCATCACTCTGGTCTTCATGACAATGCTGGTGACTCACGGTGAACAAGCGCTGGACGTACGGTACCTGGGAAGCGCCCCGCCACCCTTCAGCGGCCTTCATGAGATCTGGCAGGATGTCCGGGACCACACACTGCTCCACCAGGAAGACCACAGGCAGAGCAACCAATAGCAGGGCCCAGCCCAGGGCGCCCAGCCAAAAGGAGGAGCCCAGGCAGGTAAAGTCATCGCTGATCTCTGCCCGGTGCTGGTAGGTGAAGAGGGACCAGCTGAGGAGGAAAAATAATCCTAGAGAGACAGAGAGGGAGGAGAAGGGAAGAGCGGAGTCCGTCAGGTCATCATCAGTAGATAGAAGGAGTCTAGACAGAGGAATCTGAGTGTTTACTGTAGGCAATACACAAGCAATCCATCTTTACTAACATACCTGTGTGAAAACACTCGACAAAAGCTCCTCCCCCATAAAGCAGGAGTAAGCAGAAGGGAAACTAGATTAACATAAGCAGTGACAGGAATGGGAAATCTTCTATCGAAACCAGTGGCGGTCAGTGCCGTTTATGATGAGGGTGGATGATTTTTTTTGTATGAGCATGGCCTTATTTCTATTACAGCATATTGGATGACTGTCATTCATATTCCATTAACCCAGTTCAATGTAACATCGATAGGTTTAGGCATCTACGTGATAATCAAATTTTCCCATCATGAGGTTGTTACAACCTAGCCTATGAATGAACGTTTACAACGTAGCTGCACACAGCGACACATTTATCCCCGTTTCGTTCCGTTTGCTTCCGTTTAAGAAACGTTTTTCAACAGAGTCGGCGGAATGTTACAGACCTATATCCATCCTGCCCTGCCTTTCGAAAGTATTTGAAAGCCAAGTTAACAAACAGATCACCGACCATTTCGAATCCCACCGTACCTTCTCCGCTATGCAATCCGGTTTCCGAGCTGGTCATGGGTGCACTTCAGCCACGCTCAAGATCCTAAACGATATTATAACCGCGATCGATAATAGACAGTACTGTGCAGCCGTCTTCATCGACCTGGCCAAGGCTTTCGACTCTCTCAACCACCGCATTCTTATTGGCAGACTAAATAGCCTTGGTTTCTCAAATGACTGCCTCGCCTGGTTCACCAACTACTTCTCAGATAGAGTTCAATGTGTCAAATCGGAGGGCCTGTTGTCTGGACCTATGGCAGTCTCTATGGGGGTGCCACAGGGTTCAATTCTTGGGCCGACTCTTTTCTCCGTGTATATCAATGATGTCGCTCTTGCTGCTGGTGACTCTCAGATCCACCTCTACGCAGACGACACCATTTTGTATACATCTGGCCCTTCATTGGACACTGTGTTAACAAACCTCCAAACGAGCTTCAATGCCATACAACACTCCTTCAGTAGCCTCCAACTGCTCTTAAACACTAGTAAAACTAAATGCATGCTCTTCAATCAAACGCTGCTAGCACCCGCCCACCCGACTAGAATCACTACTCTCGACGGGTCTGACCTAGAGTATGTGGACAACTACAAATACCTAGGTGTCTGGTTAGACTGTAAACTCTCCTTCCAGACTCACATAAAGAATCTCCAATCCAAAGTTAAATCTAGAATCGGCTTCCTATTTCGCAACAAAGCCTCCTTCACTCATGCTGCCAAACATGCCCTCGTAAAACTGACTATCCTACCGATCCTTGACTTCGGCGATGTCATTTACAAAATAGCCTCCAACACTCTACTCAGCAAATTGGATGTAGTCTATCACAGTGCCATCCGTTTTGTCTCCAAAGCCCCATACACTACCCACCACTGTGACCTGTACGCTCTTGTTGGCTGGTCCTCACTACATGTTCGTCGTCAAACCCACTGGCTCCAGGCCATCTATAAATCACTGCTAGGCAAATCCCTGCCTTATCTTAGCTCATTGGTCACCATAGCAGCACCCACCCGTAGTCTGCGCTCCAGCAGGTATATCTCACTGGTCATCCCCAAAGCCAACACCTCCTTTGGCCGCCATTCCTTCCAGTTCTCTGCTGCCAATGACTGGAATGAATTGCAAAAATCTCTGAAGCTGGAGACTCTTATCTCCCTCACTAACTTTAAGCATCAGTTGTCAGAGCACCTTACCGATCACTGCACCTGTACACAGCCCATCTGAAATTAGCCCACCCAACTACCTCATCCCTATATTGTTATTTATTTTGCTCTTTTGCACCCCAGTATCTCTATTTGCACATAATCTCTTGCACATCTAGCATTCCAGTGTTAATACTAATTGTAATTATTTTGCACTATAGCCTATTTATTGCCTTACCTCCATAACTTGCTACATTTGCACACACTGTATATATATTTTCTGTTGTATTTTTTGACTTTATGTTTTTTTACCCCATATGTAACTCTGTGTTGTTGTTTTTATCGCACTGCTTTGCTTTATCTTGGCCAGGTCGCAGTTGTAAATGAGAACTTGTTCTCAACTGGCTTACCTGGTTAAATAAAGATTAAATAAAAAAAATTAACAAAAAAAAATATTAAAATAAATGAATACACCCCTGATCACTTGTAAACACAGTTCACTCACCTTTTCCCTTCGTTTGTGGACTTCAATGCACAACACATCAGCAGTATGTGACCAGGCGATAAAACCTTTTCAAGCCAAACCATATCCTAACCGCTACACACGGCCTACATCGTTGTCACCTTATTAGCTAAAGTAACGTCCTAGTCAACATAGCTAATATAACTAATGCGTTCGTAAAGCCCCTACAATCATGCAGTAACGTTACAGTCACTAAGCAGTATAGCGGTTACACCGGCGGGCACCGATGGAAATAAATTAATAAAACCAAAAGCTTACCCTGACTTGGAAAAGTACCAGTGTTGTGTTGGATAGTCATAGCCAGCAAGCTAACAAAGCATCCCTCTGTTTTAGCCGGGTGTTTTGAGTAGGCTAAACTAGCTAGCTGCATTCGCTAGCTACGTGAAACTGAAAGTGAAATAAAAATACGAAATCTCTCTCTCTCTCTCTCTCTCTCTCTCTCTCTCTCTCTCTCTCTCTCTCTCTCTCTCTCTCTCTCTCTCTCTCTCTCTCGCTTCTCCTTCATTTTTGAAGAAATTATTTTGTTCAGAACTGTTCAACTATTGGCTTTCTCTCTCTTTGAGTCAACTACTCAGCATATTTTATGCACTGCAGTGCTAGCTAGCTGTAGCTTATGCTTTCAGTACTAGATTCATTCTCTGATCCTTTGATTGGGTAGACAACATGTCAGTTTATACTGCATGAGCTCTGATAAGTTGGAGCATGTCCTCCGGAAGTCTATGGAAGGGGGTGAGGACCAAGAGCCTCCTAGGTTTTGTATTGAAGTCAATGTACCAAGAGGAAAACGGAAGCTAGCTGTCCTCCGGCTACACCATGGTGCTACCATACAGAGTGCTGTTGAGGCTACTGTAGACCTTCATTGCAAAACAGTGTGTTTTCATCAATTATTTGGTGACGATAATATATTTAGTAGAGTTTTATCTAAAAATGATAACTTTTTAATGTTTTACCATTTTTATTTGTAAGAAATTCACTGAGGAGGATGGTCCCCCTCTTCCTCCTCTGAGGAGCCTCCACTGATCAAAACATGTTTTGCATCGTTAAAAGCAACATAGATAGATTCTTGCAGGATGTGGACTCAAAGCCCCTGTTCCAATACTTTACACATGCACACTTTCTTCCTTTCAGGCCTGTGCCCTGGACCCATACTGACCTGTGGGTCCCAGAGTGAGGATTAGCAGGACGGTGGGGTAGAGGGCCTGGCCTGACATGAGGAGGGAACGGGTGTTGGAGTAGGAGCGCACTGTCTGGGATGTCCAGCAGAGGGCGAACACGAGGCACAGAGCCCCCGAATTCACAGCCATGAAGAAGGACAGTACCCCAAACACTTGCTCTGCCTCCAGGGCTGAAGACACACACACACACACACACACACACACACACACATACATAACACACACACACACACACACACACACACACACACACACACACACACACACACAGAGGGGTTATAATATGTAAACAGTGACACATGATTTTACAGTGACTTGTAATAATTTCTGCCTCGGACAGTGTTTCTCAGTTATGTGGGCGTTGAGCTCTTCTTCCTCTCAGCAGTGAACTAGAGTTCATGTCTAAACCTGTCTACATCTGCAGGCTATATTCAAGTCCAACATAGAAGAGAGAGCAATAACAACCGGCTATGTCACTTCTGAAAAACTCTTCAAGATCCCAATAATTATTCTGAACGGAGACGAATACAAGGACCATTGTCAATGTCAATGCAATGACAATACACAATGTCATTTATTGTCAAATTGACTGCTGATCTATCATTCTAACATTGTCCCTCTTTGATGTCATACTAAACAGAGAACAACAGTGAGAGGCAATTGCTTTAATCAGATACCCTTACTGCCTAAAAAACCACACTAAACAGCTAACCTAACAAACCTGTCAGGTTTGTGAGAGGCCCTAAAAGTTAATCAATAGAAGAAACGCCTCCACACGGCATATTTCGCTGCCGTTTATATACAGTATATGGGTGCAGGAATAAAGCAGGGGAGCAGCATGAACTGTATGCAAGCTTTTCTATCTTTAACATCAGCTTTTTCTTTGGCCCAGCACTGGTGGAGAAATTTGGGATGTGTATATTACCTGTTGTACACCCTCTTCAGCCCTAAAAGTTTAACATCCCCCTCCCATCTACCTCTCCTCCTGTTCTCTGAGAATGTGGATGATTGCTTCAGGAGCAAGTCCACACCTGTACACATCACTGGGATTCTGAGGGAAAACTCCACAGTGCCAAAGGCAGACAGCCAACCTTAAGTGTAACTAAAATGTTCAACAACACTCACAGTTAAGCCTCTCCTTGTACATCTGCTACCTTAAGCATTCCATTAGGTGCAACCACACACTTTGAATTAGCAACCAGGTCTCTGATTTCTATCTCAATGAGAATAACCTGGTAAAATAAAGGTAAAATAAATTTTAAAAAACAGTTAGTATTACCGTAACATCATAAACTAAATTGTATAAACATGTCACTGACATTAATACACCCTGCTTACACAAGGGTAATAAACATCTCTAATTCTGAGTCAAACAGAGCCAAATTTGATGCTGTACAGAGCCAAAGTTGATGCTGACGGTCAATGTAGCTTCTTGACTCACCGTTAAAGATGATGCCCCCAGTCTGGTCACCATCACTGTCTGTGTTGGTGCTGTTGTTGCCTATAGACCACAGTCCCTGGTCATTGAGCCAGCAAGGGGTCCAAACAGAGTAGGCCACACACAGACACCCTGCCAGCCCCACACACGACTCAGCCAACCTGAACTGACTCACTGAGTCTCCCACCTCTAACACCTTCATACTGACAGACTGAGAGGGCTGAGAGAAAAGAGAATGAGACAGGGAGAAAGTGGGAGAGCAGGGAGAGAAGGGGTGGTGTGGTGAGAGAGAGGGTGGAGCATTCACAGGTAAATCTACTACAGTATCAATCTGTTTAAAAACGTTAATCCTTATCAGTAACAGTTCAAAGTTATAAAGATATATAAAAGATAAATTAAAATGGTGCCATAAACCAACAGAGCAATGTACAGTAAATCAGCTACACGACATTAGCAACAGACAGATTGTATAGGACATTTTCATCTTACCTTTAATTTTGTTTTGTTGATACAGAGGATCAGACAATCTTGTTATGTTGAACTCTGTCTGAACTGTGGACTCCTGAATGCTGGATTAGAGTGTGTGATGAAGCTTTGTATAAATCTACCCAGCATGAGGAGAGCAGGAGCTAGTCAGATGCGTGATGGACTACTGTACAATGAGCTCATTGCCATCAAACACTCCGATACAGTGACTCACACTGTCAGTGTACCACAGTCAGAAAAACACAATATATATTTCCCTCTGTGTTGCTCTCCGCCTCACCACTACAGTAGAAACCCCCGTACTCAGTGTTTGAGTTCCCACAGCTGTGACACAAAGGCTCATGTCATTAGGAAAGTGAAAGCAGCTCTGTCTCCCTCTACCATATCCACCGTGGTAGTGAAAGGACGATAGTCAAACAACTTTTCTTTTTTTTACTGTATTTTATGTTTTGAAGGGTGATGACACTTTTAAGCTTGGTCCCTGTTCCCTCACTCTGCATGGGGTGTAACAAAGGACAGGTTGTCATCTTGTGGGGAAAAATACCCCCCCCCCCCCCCACACACACACACATTAACACACACAAACACTTTGTGTTTCACACCTCGCCCACAAGAGTAAGTAACATGATGCTTTCACTAGATCACAATCAATCACATGCTCCCGCTCAGCCATGACATTATAGCTGCCATGTGTTGGTGAACAGGGGGTCGTACAGTGTGTGTGTGTGTGTGTGTGTGTGTGTGTGTGTGTGTGTGTGTGTGTGTGTGAGCTCAGGAAAGGAAACCTGGGTACCCCCACACAAATCAAGACCTCCAGCTTCCTTTTCTAGTCCCCAGCCAGAGCAGGGTCATCATGGAAAAACCCCAACAACCCAGAGCCAAACTGTCAACAACAGCTTATGCAACTTTTACTGGTTGATTACTATGTATCAAGAGGCAGGCTAAAACAGATTATGTTGTGTACTTGGAATATCTACAGTAACAAAAACAGGCAACATTATACTTCAATCATTTGGGTTTCAAAACTATTTCATGTCAGTTTCACTTCCTTGATTTACCAACTAAAAAAATGTAGTCTACAGTATTTAGGCTTTCACTCGAATTGATCTGGAAAACCACATCCTGTCCTTCTCCACAAGTGGTAAAAATAAGGCTTTTATTGAAAGTTGACCAATTTATCAACATTAAGACTTGGTGAAATATTCAGAACCATTTACTGTACATATGTATACAGTATTAAAAACAACTTAAAAGCTCAGGAAATGTACTGTAGATGACCACATCATAAACGTATAACCATATTCACGGGTTAATCATTAAAGTGGATTACAGCACAACCAGAAAACGAGTTATAACTGAGTTACAAAATGTATTTGACAGAGACTGAAACTTAACTCAGTATATTCATTTGAGTCAACATTGGCATTCAATGAACAGAACTGCATAGATTACAGCACAGCCTGATACACTGACTTCTGGCTGAAATAATTAAGAACAGCTCTCATTACAACTCAAAAATAAGACATCCTGATGTGGACAAACTGGGGAACCTTTGTCTCCTTTCCTGCAGCCTATCCTGACTGATGTCCTTTCTTGCCTGTCCTTTCCTTCCACCTCCCCCTCCCACCCTCCCCCTCCCATCCTCTCCATCCGCTCCCCTCCTCTCCTCCCCTCCTCTCCATCCCCTCCTCTCCATCCCCTCCTCTCCTCTACTTCCTGGCTCTGTCCAGCAGGTCTTTGAACACATCCAGCAGCTCTGGGTCCTCCCCAGCAGACAGTTCCGGAGTGTTCTTCTCCAGCCAGTCAGATGTGTGGATCTGTTGCCTCAGGGCACCAATCAGGGAGTCCAGACTCTCTGTGGGGTGGGACGTCTGGCAGTCGAGCAGGACAAAGTCTTCACTGACCAATGGGATGGCATCAGGGGTGGGATTATCCTTCTCCTCTGGCTCTTCTGATGATGTGTTCTTGGACAAGGATGTTGACTTATCAGTCAGAGGTTTGTGTGTGTGTGTTGTGTCCCCCTGTGTTGTCTTCTCTGTCCCTTTCTCCTCTGTGGCCTCTTTCGTTGTGCCCGTGTCAGGGGTGGATGTGGCCCCATCTATCTCCTCCAAGGCCTTCCTGATCCTCTGCATGCCTACAACAACCACATAACCCCATCCCTTTGATTTAGTTTTCATGTCATTGTATGACTTCACAGAATGAGATGAAGAGATAGGAATTAGAGGAAAACAGGACAGAAGAAAGAAGAGGGCGAAAAGAGAAAGCGAGGAGGAAAAAAGATCAACGTCTCCCTATATCTGTTTTCCTGCCCCCTTATCATGAGAGGAGAAAAGCATCTGAACGTACCGAGCGTAAGGTGTTGCTGTCGGTCGGTGAAGACAATGCGGAACCAGCCGGGGGTGGAGCAGTGGAAGGCTTGGCCACAGCTCAGCACCACCTTGTGTCTGAGGAAACACCTCCACAGGGACAGTTCCTCCGCAAATGACGGCTCATGCAGGTACTGACCGAGAGAGACAGAGAGAGAGAGAGAGGAGGAGGAACCATGTCAGGAAGAACCAAATCATCAGCTTCACACCATGCAGTAACCCCAACCGTGTTTCAGTGTCCTTACCTTCCTGAGGTCAGCCCAGATGTAGAAGCCTGCAGGCCGGTGGAGGTAGGGGACTCCCAGGCTCTGTAGCTCCCCTGTCATGTACCTGTGAGCTGCCTGCATTCTCAGCCTGTTCTCTGGAAGAAACTTCCCATCGATCCAATCTACAGAGTAGAACACAGGTAGATTGAGCTCCCTACTTGGATGACATTTCCTCTCATCTAGTGTGTGTGTGTGTGTGTGTGTGTGTGTGTGTGTGTATGCGTACCTTTGTCCTGGAGTAGCGTTGCCATCTGGTGCTGTATGGGACCAGGGACACCATGGAACGTCCCCAGTTTATCCAGAGCTTCAACCAAGTCCCTGTTATCAGAGTACACAGTGCCCACACGCACTCCTGCCATCGCAAAGTCCTGCACAGGGACAACACACAGGAGACAGGGGACAATCTAAGAGGATGGCCACATAACCCCCAGATAGCCCCCACAACAACATGTATGTACAAACACATTCAGACACATGCATATGCATGCACACACACACACATCACACACACACGCGCATGCACACACACACACACACACACACACTCACTTTAAACTCTTACCTTGCTGATTCCCCACATCACATGTGTTCTCTGGGGGTCCGGCAGGCTGTAAGCACACCATTATTAATGTACATTCCATAGGGAGAGTTTGTGTGCGTGTGTGCGTGTGTGTGCATCATACCTGTCCATGCTGAGGACGCTGTGGAAGGTGTCTTCAAACACCGTCAGCATGTACACCTCATCTACAATGGCATGCAACTTATGCCTTAGGCAGGGGGGAAGGAATGGAGAGAACAGGGAGGAAAAGAGAAATCATTTACTATGAATTTCTATTGCACCGTTTTATGATGTTTACAAAGGCAATACAAGCAGGCAGTAAAAGGCCTCTATCAGTAGGGAGCAGTGTGTTGTACAAATGAGCTGGTTTATGGTTACACTTTAAAACACAACTACAGTCATGATACTCTGCGTTATATGCGCAAGAGGGAAAAAATATTGTACAATATGGTAATATGATATGAGGAGAAATCTCACCTCTTGGCAAACTCCAGAAAGCCAGTCATCTCCTGAGGGGAGTAGACCTCAGCCAGGGGGTTATGGGGGTTCACCAGGACCACGGCCCGCACGGTCACCCCCTGACAGACAGGGCCACACCGAGGGACAGTTACACCAATGAAACATTCTAGTACCGGTGTCTTCATTTTATCAATGGATAACTATTCTGTTTTGGAGGGGGGGGGGGGGGGGGGGGGGGCTACCTCGCTAGTTGCCTTCCTCATAGCTTCCTCCAGTTTGTCCACAGTAAGGTGGAAAGGCCGACTGCCACTGTCACTAGGCTAAAAGCACAAACAACAAGCACACAAGAAAATATATGGTCCAGATAAATGAGCCATCAAATAACATATACAACAATACAACACAGGGTGATATTATGGTATAGGGTGTATTATGTTAAGAAAGGAGGCCTATCTGGAGGCGAAAGAAACGCACACCTGTTTAGGCGAGGTGCTGGCTAATGGAGAAGAACACTTCAAAAAGAAAAGGAGAGCCGCACACTCTAGGAGCTCAGATGAAATAATTTAATAACCTAATAACCAACGTTTCGACAGACAAGCTGTCTTCATCAGGGTAGAAACGTTGGTTATTGGTTATTAAATGATTGCATCTGAGCTCCTAGTGTGCGGCTCTCCTTTTATTTTTCAAGAAAGGAGGCCTACCTCACAGTCGAGATGAACATGGAAGAGCCGAACACCGCTGTAGAGATGCACATCCTCAGTGATCACTCCATAGAATGGGGTTGGAATAAGGATTGCATCTAAAACACACATTGTCAGGATAAACCTCACAATATTCAATTACATTCAAACACTGAAAGCCATGAATTAAACACCATCTCTTACACAGTTGGATGGATGATATTTAAAAATATAATATGTGAGACATATGTGAAACAACTGGACATACTTCTTGAGTCTACTGAGTTGAACTAACCTTCCGGGTCACAAAGCACTGCGGCTATGGATGAGAAGAGGGAACCACAGCCATTCATCACAACAACCTGAACACACACACACAAATAAGACACTAGCTTTATAGATTCATCCTGCAATCACAGCCCTATTCCCTATTGGCCAGGATTATACACTAGACTAGAGCCATTATACAGTACTACTAAGGGCTGAGGAGAGCTCAGTTCACTCACATTGTCTGCTCTCAGTGGGCTGGGCGAACCACAGTAGTGGGACAGGAACCTGGACACCTCTTCTCTCAGACTAAAGAGGGGATACCATCACCATCATTATTAACATCCTCATCATCCTTATCTTTATCACTGCTCTATTCAACATATTTATTGTGTGTAATAAACATGTTATTGAATTGTAGTTCAGTTATCTCTAATGAATACATGTACCATAGCCATCCTTTTCCACATGACATATGGAGTCCTCATACAAGGTGATTGCTTACAAGCGGTGGCCTTTCCAGTCAGGATACTGCAGCAAGGCTGGGTCGATATGAAGCATGTCAGGCTGGGTCATCTGTGGCAGGGAGGCAGTGGCACAAAAAGGGTTTTGATTTATGGACGGAGAGAGAACGGTTACATTCAATAGGAGTGTAATGCACAGCGCTACAGATGATATATAGTTACAGTAAGTACAGAACCACATCTCCAACAGACACCTCACTAGCTGGTCAATACCATAGAATAAAGAATGTATCACTCTGATTGACAAAGTCAGTGATTAGCAATGTGGAGCAACCACATGAACCGCTCTCCCTCCCCTCTTTTTTCTTCCCCCTCTCTCACCCGTTTGTGAAGCAGATCATAGCACAGCTTGTTCTCACTGGTGCCCATGTTGATGATGCCCTGGAGACGAGAGACACCTAAATCTATCAATCTATCTTTCAATCAATCTATCAATTGTTATTTGTCTAGCACTTTTTACAGATACATTTGCCACAAAGTGAAATGACACCACACACAGGTCTGGAACGACTCTTCACAACATGCGGAGCAGCAGCAGTGTTGGAGACTCACATTGGGGTTGTCAGTGTGCTCGTATTTGTCAGCGTGGTACTGGGTGTAGCCCTCCTGTAGAACTCCCTGGTGCTGTCTAATGGAGTTGCCACGGCGAGACAGGTAGACACTGTGGCCAGGGGTCTCTGCACCACTTAGTGTGGCCAGTATGCTCTTAGGTTTAGTGAGGCAACGGGCTGGGATGGATGGTGGTGGTTCTGTAGTTGGGGCAGGACAGCCAAATGGGACAGACGAAGTAGCTGGGGCAGATAGGGCATTAAGTATAGTGGTGTGTCCAGAAGTGGCAGAGGGTACAGTTGAGTCAGTAGAGAAAGTAGGAGCAAACGGTGGAGCAGTAGGGGCAGTCTGTCTGACAGCGGCCAGGGCCCCAGTGAACATGCTGAACAGACGGAGCTCATGCTGTCTCTCCTGCTCCGCCCTCCTCTCCTCCTGCTGCTCCCGCCTCTCCTCTGCCTGCGCCTCCCTCTCCAGCCGTGCCTCCTCCAGGGAGATGAGCCGCTCCTCTGCAGACCGCTGCCAGCTCAGGAAGCTGACCAGGGCCTCGTCCAGGGGCCCCCGGCCCCCACATCGACCCCCTCCACCCCCACCGGCCCCTCTACCTGCACGCCGACGCTTCCTCTGCCTCACAGGGGCTGCAGGTCGGGAAGCATCTGGGTCAAGCTGGTTCCCTGTGTCCCGGCCATCAGGACCAGCAATGGAGGCCCCTGTGCCTGAGGAACCCAGCCTGGTTCTGATCACTGAAACCTGAGGACGGAAAGAGAGAGAGGAGAGAAGAGGGAAGAAGGGATAAGAGATCACAAACCCTTATTTTGCTTATTAAATCCATACTTACTGTCATTCAAAGCTATCATGCGCTCCAGCTACATGATATATCCACTTCCGTACACTCCCCTACGTATTTATTTAGACAGTGAAGCTAAAACTTTTAATTTGGCTCTATACTACAGCATTTTGGATTTAAGATCAAATGTCTCATATGAGGCAACAGTACAGAATGTCACCTTCTATTTGAGGGTATTTGTCACGCCCTGGCTCTGGGGACTCTTAAATGTTGAGCCAGGGTGTGTAGTTTCTGTGTTGTGTTTATTTATATGGTGAATATCTATTATGTGTAGATCTATGTTGGCCGGTTTGGTTCCCAATCAGAGGCAGCTGTAGCTGTCTGAATACTTATGAAGAAAAAAACTATTATTCAAATGGGGGACTAGATACATAAAGTGATTTTACTTCTAAACGGTAAAACAGATATGTATGAAACGGTGACAGTCTGTGCCATTTAAGGTGATGCAGGACGATTTTTTTTCCATGAGCCTTATTTCTATTACAGCATATTAGACCACTGTCATTCATATTCTATTCACCCATCTCAATGTAACATCGCTAGGTTTAGGCTCCTACATGATATTCGAATTTTCCCTATACCCATCATGAGGTTGCTACAACCTAGCCTATGAATGAAAGTTTACAACGTAGGTGCACAGGTCGAGAGAAAAATCAGAGTAATCAAGGTGACAGACAGTAACACATTCAACACTCTTGCCTGCATCTAGCTGATCTAGGGTGTAATCATTTGTCCAACAGTTGCAAACCAGAGTTTCTATTGGACAAATTCAGGTATGTTTATCCCCGTTTCGTTCCATTTGCTTTGTTTAAGAAACGTTTTTTAAACAGAATCGGCAGAATGAATACACCCCTGATCACACGCAAACACAGTTCCCTTTCATAGCAGCCACATACAAACAGCATGATCACTCGTGATATAATTCCTTCTCGCATCTACGTGCTCTCCTCCTCTCACCTTTTCCCTTCCCTTGTGGACTTCAGTGCACAACACATCAGCTATCTGTGACCAGGCATAAAAAGTTCCAAGCTAAACCTTCATATCTTAACTGCTAACCGCTACATACACACTACATCGTTGTCACCATATTAACGTCATAGTCAACATAGCTACTAAAACTAATGCGTTAGTAAATCCGCTTCAATAATGCAGTACAGTGTACAGTCAGCAAGTAGTTTAGCAGTTACACCGGCAGGGCCCCAGTGGCAATAAATGAATAAAACCAAAAGCTTACCTAGACTTGGAAGAGTTCCAGTGTTGGCTAGCCATAGCCAGCTAGCTAACATAGCATCCCTCTCTGTTTGAGCCAGGTGTTTGAGTAGGCTAAGGTAGCTAGCTACATTCGCTATCTAAGTGAAAGTGAGAAAAAAAATACAACAAAATATAGCTAGCTCTCTCTCCCTCTCTCGCTTCTCCTTCATTTTTGAATAAATTAATTTGTCTGAGTCAACTACTCACCACAGTTTATGCACTGCAGTGCTAGCTAGCTGTAGCTTATGCTTTCAGTACTAGATTCATTCTCTGTCATTTGATAGGGTGGACAACATACCAGTTCATGCTGCATGAGCTCTGACAGGTTGGAGGATGTCCTCCGGAAGTTGTCATAATTACTGTGTAAGTCTATGGAAAGGGGTTAGAACCATGAGCATCCTAGGTTTTATATTGAAGTCAATGTACCCAGAGGAGGACGGAAACTAGCTGTCCTCCGGGCACACCATAGTGCTACCCTACAGAGTGCTGTTGAGGCTACCGTAGACCTTCATTGAAAAACAGTGTGTTTTAATCAATTATTTGGTGACGTGAATATATTTAGTATAGTTGTATCTATTCACTGAGGAGGATGGTCCTCCCCTTCCTCCTCTGAGGAGTCTCCACTGGTATGAAAATACCCTCAAATAAAAGATGACATTCTGTACTGTTGCCTCATATAAAACATTAGATCTCAAATCCAAAATGCTGGAGTATAGGGCCAAATGTACTAATTTTATCTTCACTGTACAAATAAATACATAGGCAGAGGAGTGTATGTGCACAAATCAAAGTGTAATCATGTAGTGTGTTTTTGCAAGGACAAATTTCAGTTCGATTTGCGCAATGATACAGCATACCAAGTGTTAGGACTACAAGATAATAGTTGCATCTAATACCCTCACTTTTATAAAAGTAGGGAATGAATATCCATGCAAAATTATACCGGGCAATAGGCATTTTTAGCCAACCTGAAGGAGAGAATCGCGCGCTCGTCGTGCGTTCTCCTCGAGCCATCTCGACCGTATCCTCTTGGTCCAGCCCGGCAGACTTTCCATCAGTGTCATGCTCATCTCCAGACTCGATATGGTACAGCAGCTCTGGGGGAGCAGCATCGGAGTTCAGCAATCCGTCCTCGGACTCTGTATGCTCGCATTTGATCTCCAGCAGCTCCCCCGGCTTGGGTGGATGACCAAACAAGAACCCGCCCGAAGCAGCGGAACCAAAGGCACCACCTGGCAGACCATGGAGGTATGCGTCTGCCCCACTAGGGGGGCTCTGGAGGACCTGGTGGGCTATAACGGCACCGCCCAATGAGGAGTAGGCTATGGCCGGTCGGTTCGTTAAGACCCGGTCCATAACATCATAAAACTTCCATGACCTCCCGCCGCGTATCATCCTGTGGTTGTCCTTGATGCGGCGGTATTCCAGCTTCATCTTTTTTATCTTCTCCCTGCACTGGTCGCCAGTGCGATAGATGCCGTTCTCCCGCAGGACGTCCGCTATTCGGTTAAATACATGTTGATTTCGGAGGCAACTTTCCAGCTCGAGTTGGACCGACTCATCTGACCACAGCTGGAGAAGTTCGGCCACCTCTGGGTCGGACCAGTTGCTGCCCCGCTCATATTTTCTACCGCGGAAGTCCATTCTAGACGCCACTTTGACAGATGACAGGTCCTCCGAGTTATATTTTCTATGGAAACAAAAACAAAACAACTCTGTTAGTGATAGGCAATACTGCTAGTACAGGCTATCCTACTCCCTATTATTTAGGCCTAACCTGAATTAGCTAATAAATCATTTGTAGGCTAAAATTATTCAAATCAAATTATGAAGCATTCAACTAAAGTAATAACAAAATGGGAGCCTACAGCCTCAAAACAAAGGTTTGTTATGCTTACAGTACTGCCAAGCTTCAGTAGGCTACCACTGCTGTCAGCTGTGACAGTTCACGCGACACTTCTGTCTATCCCGGTCTAGACCGGTTCAAGCGTGCCATAAAATGACTACGTGTTCTATTTTTGACACAGTTAGCAACAATGTCAAATAAAATATTAAAATGGGGGAAGAGAATCGTACAAATTCTACATCCGGGTTGACGGCACATGCGTGCTGTCCTTATTCCGGGATAACTTTGGCCCGTGTTAACAGCAGAGCCACTAGGCTGGAAGCGGGCTGGTTTATTTCTCTTGAGCCAGTCTGTTTGTCATGTTTGTGTGTGAGCAAGCGTGTCAGAATAAAAAGGATGTCTCTTTTGCACCCTCTAGTAGTCTACCGTACAACATTGCACGGAACCAATTGTTTATGCATGTACGTACGGTATAAATCCGGTAGATGGCGGTCGTAGACAACAGTTTGTGGTTGCGCGAGGTGGTGGCGTTCCACCTATGATCTAACGGTGACGTAGGGCTGTCGCACAGATACAGGGTTGCCATGTCCGTTATTTTCTAGTAAATTGGGCTATTCTGAAAATGATGTCGTGGGGGGAAATGTATTGGTCGCGGGATTTTGGGCTATTTCGAAGTTTCACCACGGCCCCGTCGCATTTCTCTTAAAAATGTATATTTCACTGTGACCTGCTGCTGAATGTCAGGCAGTGAGGAAGGTTGTTACTGAGTGAGTGGTGGGGAGGGCGGGAGGCGTGTGCGTGGGTTTGTTGAGAGAGCGCTACAGCTACTGGTTGAGTCACGTGAGCGAAAGGAGCGCGAGTAGCACGATCGCACATCGTGACATGTAGGCTGTTTAGTTTGTTATTATGGAGACACCTATTTCCAACCTTTTTTCCATGAAACATATTAACACGCTAGAACTGATGCACATCAATAAATAATGGAGACAAAGCACTGGAAAACGGCTTTGGGCGCACTAGAGCGCATTACATAAATTCGCTCGGAGGTGGTTTAAACTGCATTCTAATGTTGACTTTGCTTAAAGTGAACGGTATCAACCGAAGTGTTTTAGATTTGCTCAGTTCTTGGGTCTCGGGGGCTGCCGGAGTGGAAATTTGAAATGGAAGTTATGGAACTTCCTCGCGTGGTTCTTTTTATGGGGAAAAGTACTCAATGAAACTGACATTAAATGTGGAGAATGATATATTTGCCTCTGTTGGCCATCAAGTAGCCTATTAATTTACAGTGCCTTCGGAAAGTACTCAGACCCCTTGACTTTTTCCACATTTTGTTACGTTACAGCCTTATTCTAAAATGAATTGAAAAAAAAATAATCCTCAGCAATCTACACACCATACTCCATAATGACAAAGCGAAAACAGTTTTTTTTTTTTTTTTTTGCAAATGTATTAAAAATAAAAAACAGAAATATGTTCTTTACATAAGTATTCAGCCCCTTTGCTACGAGACTCAAAATTGAGCTCAGGTGCATCCTGTTTCCATTGATCATCCTTGAGATGTTTCTACAACTTGATTGGAGTCCACCTGTGGTAAATTCAATTCATTGGACATGATTTGGAAAGGCACACACCTGTCTATATAAGGTCCCACAGTTGACAGTGCATGTCAGAGCAAAAATCAAGCCATGAGGTCAAAGGAATTGTCCATACAGCTCCGAGACAGGATTATGTCGAGGCACAGATCTGGGGAAGGGTACCAAAAAATTTCTGCAGCATTGAAGGTCCCCAAGAACACAATGGCCTCCATCATTGTTAAATGGAAGATGTTTGGAACCACCAAGACTCTTCCTAGAGCTGGCCGCCCAGCCAAACTGAGCAATCTGGGGAGAAGGGCCTTGGTCAGGGAGGTGACCAAGAACCTGATGGTCACTCTGACAGAGCTCTATAGTTCTTCTGTGGAGATGGAAGAAACTTCCAGAAGGACAACCATCTCTGCAGCACTCCACCAATCAGGCCTTTATGGTAGAGTGGCCAGACGGAAGCCACTCCTCAGTAAAAGGCACATGACAGCCCGCTTGGAGTTTGCCAAAAGGCACCTAAAGACTCTCAGACCATGAGAAACAAGATTCTCTGGTCTGATGAAACCAAGATTGAACTCTTTGGCCTGAATGCCAATCGTCACGTCTGGAGGAAACCTGGCACCATCCCTGGCGGTGAAGCATGGTGGTGGCAGCATCATGCTGTTGGGATATTTTTCAGTGGCAGGGATTGGGAGACTAGTCAGGATCGAGGGAAAGATGAACGGAGCAAAGTACAGAGAGATGTATATGTATTTATATGTATATGTATGTGTATGTATGTATATATATATAAGAGCGTCTGCTAAATGACTAAAATGTAAATGTGATGTAAAAATATATATATATATTTGCGAGAAAGAAAAAAAAACATATGGGGGATTGGAAGTGATGCAGACAATTACATTGTTGGACTTACAATCTATCTGCAATATTAAAGCTGATCTACCCCCTAAAAAATTATAATATATATATATATATATATATATACTAAATAAACACACACACAAAAAATAAACACACACAAATTTTTTTTTTTTTAAGTACAGAGAGATCCTTGATGAAAACCTGCACCAGAGAGCTCAGGACCTCAGACTGGGACGAAGGTTCACCTTCCAACAGGACAACGACCCTAAGCACACAGCCAAGACAACACAGGAGTGGCTTCGGGACAAGTCTCTGAATGTCCTTGAGTGGCCCAGCCAGAGTCCGGACTTCAACCCAATCGAACATCTCTGGAGAGACCTGAAAATAACTGTGCAGCAATGCTCCCCATCCAACCTGACAGAGCTTGAGAGGATCTGCAGAGAAGAATGGGAGAAACTCCCCAAATACAGGTGTGCCAAGCTTGTAGCGTCATACCCAAGAAGACTAGATGCAGTCATCGCTGCCAAAGGTGCTTCAACAAAGTACTGAGGAAAGGGTCTGAATACTTATGTAAATGTGATATTGATATATAAATTTGATAAATTAGCAGACATTTCTAAAAACCAGTTCTTGCTTTGTCATTATGGGGTATTGTGTGTAGATTGATGAGGGGGGAAAACAATTTAATCAATTGTAGAATAAGGCTGTAACGTAACAAAATGTGGAAAAAGTCGGCTACTTTAGGCTACCATTTGATACATTAAATATGTTGAAATGACGATATCACTGGTCATTGCAAATCAATGTGCCACTTGTGTAGCCTACCTGGAGCTGGCAAACCAATTTAATCAATAGCTTATACCTTCAGTTTATTGTTGTTGTTGCCATGTGTTATTATGCAATTATTAATGGACATGTTTAGTTAATTAAATTGGAAGTTATCAAAGCCCTGGAAGTTATCAAAGCTCTATCGCAATTGCCGATCAGTTGTTAGAACACATTAGATTGACGGTAACAGTTGTCAGATTAGGCGTGCCGTCTTTAGCCAACTCTCTTGCTATCTCTCTCAGAATTACCTTCTTGATCCAAACCAGTCAGGTTTCAAGACTGGTCATTCAACTGAGACTGCTCTTCTCTGTGTCACGGAGGCTCTCCGCACTGTTAAAGGTGGCGAATCGCATCTCTGCATGTCTGGCAGACATATCAGTGTGGATGACGGATCACCACCTCAAGCTGAACCTCGGCAAGACGGAGATGCTCTTCCTCCCGGGGAAGGACTGCCCGTTCCATGATCTCGCCATCACGGTTGACAACTCCGTTGTGTCCTCCTCCCAGAGTGCGAAGAGCCTTGGCGTGACCCTGGACAACACCCTGTCGTTCTCCGCTAACATCAAGGCGGTGACCCGATCCTGTAGGATCATGCTCTACAACATTCGGAGAGTACGACCCTGCCTTACACAGGAAGCGGCACAGGTCCTAATCCAGGCACTTGTCATCTCCCGTCTGGATTACTGCAACTCGCTGTTGGCTGGGCTCCCTGCCTGTGCCATTAAACCCCTACAACTCATCCAGAATGCCGCAGCCCGTCTGGTGTTCAACCTTCCCAAGTTCTCTCACGTCACCCCGCTCCTCCGCACACTCCACTGGCTTCCAGTTGAAGCTCGCATCTGCTACAAGACCATGGTGCTTGCCTACGGAGCTGTGAGGGGAACGGCACCTCCGTACCTTCAGGCTCTGATCAGTCCCTACACCCAAACGAGGGCATTGCGTTCATCGACCTCTGGCCTGCTGGCCCCCCTACCTCTGCGGAAGCACAGTTCCCGCTCAGCCCAGTCAAAACTGTTCGCTGCTCTGGCACCCCAATGGTGGAACAAGCTCCCTCACGACGCCAGGACAGCGGAGTCACTCACCACCTTCCGGAGACACTTGAAACCCCACCTCTTTAAGGAATACCTGGGATAGGATAAAGTAATCCTTCAACCCCCCCTTACCCCACCCCACCCCAAAAAAGAAGAAAAAAAAATATTGTAAAGTGGTTATCCCACTGGCTATAAGGTGAATGCACCAATTTGTAAGTCGCTCTGGATAAGAGCGTCTGCTAAATGACGTAAATGTAAAAAAAATGTAAATGTAAAATAAACACTGGCTGTTGTTGACAAGCATATTCAGTTCATATACACTACCGTTCAAAAGTTTAGGGTCACTTAGAAATGTCCTTGTTTTCGAAAGAAAAGCATTTTTTTGGTCCATTAAAATAACATCAAATTGATCAGAAATACAGTGTTGACATTGTTAATGTTGTAAATGGCTATTGTAGCTGGAAACGGCCGATTTTCTATGGAATATCTACATAA